TACCTCAGGGCTAATCTTGCTTTTCCTGCTTTGATCATTACGTTAATTAAATATGGCTGCCTTGACAGGTCGCAGGCTCAAAAACAGGTAGGTGTTAAAGGCACCTCGGCATGCACCTGGAGCTGTCAACATCCCTGGCCTCGCCGTCACTCCGGAGCGGCAATAATTCGAAACGATGTCGCCGAAAAATAGAGGAGGTTTCTGGGGGCGAGCGAGGTGGTAGAGGCCAGAGGAACGAGAGAGAGAGAGAGAGAGATAGAATTAGAGAGAGAGAGGCATGTTGTTGTCAGGTCTCGTGTCAGCGGCGTCATCAGCGGACAGCCCAGAGCGCAAATTACAAGTGTGTCTGTGGAGAAGTGTCAAAAGTGTTCTAAGTCCACTTCACGTCCGCAGCTGAGGAGGGACACGGTGCACAGGGGCCGAGGCCAAAGTCAAACGCCCCGGAGGAGAAGAAGAAACAGAAGAAAAGCACCTCTGTCAATGCAGTAATGACAGGGATACAGTGCACGGCCAGAGCTTTGGAAAAAAAGTTACTTCAAAATCGGCATTTTTTTCACCTGCCATATAAGGCAAGCGGATTGGCGAGTTTCTTTGTATAAACAAGGAAGCTCAAAGTACTCAAAGGCATTCAAATTATAAATAAGTAGAGTGCGGTAAACGTTTGAACCTGGATTTGAACATTGTCAGAGTAGAAGCCTGTCTCACATTTTCAGGATTCAAAACCTCACTGCTCCAATTTGACCTCGTCCAGACTTTAATATTCTTTTTTGTGCTGCAATTGCAAGATGGATGTATGATTTTTGCCTGTCTCATTTCCCCTGACTTAGCAGTTCTTGACCCTGGATCTACAGCCTCAGTCCTGGGTCTCTATAGCCTCAGTCCTGGGTCTCAATAGCCTCAGTCCTGGATCTACAGCCTCAGTCCTGGATCTACAGCCTCAGTCCTGGATCTCTATAGCCTCAGTCCTGGATCTACAGCCTCAGTCCTGGGTCTCTATAGCCTCAGTCCTGGATCTACAGCCTCAGTCCTGGGTCTCTATAGCCTCAGTCCTGGATCTACAGCCTCAGTCCTGGATCTACAGCCTCAGTCCTGGGTCTCTACAGCCTCAGTCCTGGATCTACAACCTCAATCCTGGATCTACAGCCTCAGTCCTGGATCTACAGCCTCAGTCCTGGGTCTCTATAGCCTCAGTCCTGGATCTACAGCCTCAGTCCTGGGTCCCTATAGCCTCAGTCCTGGATCTACAGCCTCAGTCCTGGGTCTCTATAGCCTCAGTCCTGGATCTACGACCTCAGTCCTGGATCTACAGCCTCAGTCCTGGGTCTCTATAGCCTCAGTCCTGGATCTACGGCCTCAGTCCTGGATCCTGTTTGGCAGTAGTATGCATCAAAACTTTAATCCAGTGCCGTATGTCTGATTACTATAGTTGACGAAACCAAAGATATCTTTAATGTGGATTGTTTGAGCTTCATGATTATACAGCTACATCATAAAATCATCGGAGGACTTCAGTTCCACGTTCTGGTACCTGTAACATCCATTTTCCATCTGCCGCTCTGAATTTTGCCGCTTTATTGGACAGAGCCAGCCTCCCATTGGACAGAGGGATCAGTTGGACCGCGGAGGTGTGATGCGGTGCCCAGGCCTACATCTCTATCCAGCGGCCGATAACACACACACACTCACAGCGGTAATTAGCATCACCAATATGTCCCTTCTGCGCTCATACCTGCCCCAACAAACCAGCCCCATCCTCCATCAAAGAAAACCCCCGTTCCCCGTTTCTTTTCATGGCTAGGATCATTAACGTGGATTGGAATCGGCGAGCGACATAAGGGCCGGCTTCTCCCTCTCCGCACTCCTGGATGGGTTTTCTGTTTCCGTCGAAGTTGAAGACGTTTCGGAAATTGCTTCGATTATAGCGTCCGCGAGCCATTTGATAGCACGTCCAAGAACAAGGCGAACGCTGGCCAAAGACGATTACACCAATGAGAGCTGGCGGGACTGCGGATATAATATATCCCCCCGCCCAGTCCCCACGTCCTGCTTCAAACCAAACCACACGCTCTTGTCTCGGAGTGGAAATATTTTATTATCATGCTAATGGAGTTTGTCTTTCAGGAGAGCTGGCCCCACCCTGCCCTCTCCACAATGTAGGGAACTCAACACCAATTAAAGCAAAGTCGGCGAAGCAGCGACGTCCAGACGACAGACCACTCTACAAGTTGGTGATCGGCCAATCTGGGGATTTTTGAACGGATTGGAAATCTGGTACAATGGAAAGATGGGTCGTCACTGTGTCAGGGAGATGTGGGTCGAGAGACTTAAAGATAAATTGGAGAAGTTTCCCACATTTTAGGAAAGAACCGCCCTCTCCACTCTTTGACGAGCACGTACTGTATCACCAGAATGATTGACAATCAGAGAGTCGGGGAGGCGGGTGTTGTAGGTCGGTGTCGGTGACGTCAAGAGTTTGTGCTGAATTTGCTGGTTGTAGTTTGGCGGAGAATGGGATAGTAAAATAATCTGTTCTGGTTCAATCCAAATATCAAGAAATTGATGCCGGAGCAAGAAGAATGTTAAATATATGTCACTGATGCAAAGATGTTGTGGCTCTACCTCCCATGGTCTCCGTTAGTGGCAAAGGAGATGGCTAAAGCTAGGCTAAATGCTAAAGCTAGGCTAAATGCCTCACTCACACGGGCTCATTACATACGTCACGGTAAACTCAGATCCAAGGATTTCAATCTGAAAAAGTAGTTAACCCCTCCCACCTGTTAACAAGGTTGATGGAGCAAATCCATACCTCAGTTCGAAATGAAATGAGTACGATGGTGTGGTAAGACCGGGCTACTTTAAGCCTTGTTTTTTTCCAGCTCTTCTCTCGTTTTCTTTCCTATCCATGGAGAGTCCCTGAAAACCATTCCGCAGCGGCCTGCATAGAACCAGGGCCAATAGGGACTATCTGTATGTTTGAGCAGTTTGATTCTCTGATCCGCGTTTTGGCGAATTCAACGCTTTTGTAAAGTCCTCCGAGAGATCTACAGTTTATACATTTATTGAATTGAATTAAAGAAGGACCTAGTACTGGTTCAACTGGGCTGGTCCTGAGTAGAGTAGAATAGGGTTAGGGTTGTAGAGTATGTCAGGTGGAATATATATCTGGTAGATTATGGAACTAGAAACTGTAAATACAAATCTGGTCCTAATTTGACCCCAACTCTCTCTTGGTCTTTCTTGAGTAAATGCCACGGTAATTTGAATAGATCCTAAATTTCAGATGACATATGTATCTCGGTCACATGTCCTCGGCCTGGGGTGATGTTTGGAGTCAATGGACCTCTTTCATGACTAATGTGTTCTATGGACAAGGAAGGTTCTTTTTTTATTATTCATGAGAAATATCTGTCAGAGAAAAACAAATCCCAGGAATATAGCTCCGGCAAAAACATATTAACACAGAAATCGTTTTGTTAGAATTGTCTCTGGACGTGGGCTTCCCTGAGGTTGTGATTCCGTATCACTCAAATGGCTCCTATCGGTTTGTTATTATTGTCATCATTTCTTGTGTGTTTGATTCTCTGATCTGCTGTCGCTGAAGCCACAACTTTGTAGAGCACAGATGAGCGAGACACAAATACGTTGAATTGAATGAATAGATTGTTAGTTACTTAATGGTCACAACACACCAGAGACCAGAAAGAGACCACACTGCCAAACATTTTAAAATATGAATGTTTTTTTTATCTTAATTTGACACATTGTGACTGTGTTTTTCCTAAATTTCCAGATTTTCCAACGAGACAAAGCAAAATGATCGTGTTCGAGAAAGATACAAAAATTGTCTACTTTTGAACACGTCAAATCTATGTTTTTTTGTATAAATTTGAGAATTATTTTAGGTATTTTTCATCACTTTTTGTAGTGTAGTCCAGAAAAATAGACTACTCTGTAAAAAAGTGATGAAAATTAATTAAAAAAGTATCTTTTTTTATTTTCTCATTTCAACTGAGACTTTTCTATATCTTTTTAAAACAAGATAATAATAATAATAATACATTTTATTTATATTGCACTTTACATTTCAAAGAAACCTCAAAGTGCTAGATCATTTTGTTTTGTTCCGTTGGTAAATGTTGTTTTAAGGCTCAGAATGTTCTCAAATGAAGATACACTTTGCCAAATTTTAGAATTGTTTGAACTTATTTTTCATATAACTTATTTGTCTCCCAATGGTCCCTCGCTCTGGTCTCTCTCTCTCTGGTCTCACTCTTTCTGGTCTCTATTTCTTGCCTCTATATGGTCTCTCTCTCTCGAGTTTCTCTCTCTAGTCTCTCTCTCTGGTCTCCCTCTCTGGTCTCCCTAACTGGTCTCTCCCTCTCTGGTCTCCCTCTCTAGTCTCTCTCTCTCTCTCTCTCTAGTCTCCCTATCTGGTCTCCCTCTCTAGTCTCTCTCTCTCTCTCTCTCTAGTCTCCCTATCAGTTCTCCCTCTCTAGTCTCTCTTTCTCTCTCTAGTCTCCCTCTCTGGTCTCTCTCTCTCTCTAGTCTCCCTCTCTGGTCTCCCTAACTGGTCTCTCTCTGGTCTCTCTCTCTGGTCTCTCTCTCTAGTCTCCCTCTATAGTCTCCCTCTCTGGTCTCCCTAACTGGTCTCTCTCTCTCTGGTCTTTCTCTCTAGTCTCCCTCTCTAGTCTCCCTCTCTGGTCTCCCTAACTGGTCTCTCTCTCTCTCTGGTCTCTCTCTCTTCTTCCCGTCGCCAAAACAAGTAAAAACTCCGGCCCTTCAATCACATTCAAACCATTATCACCAAACTGTACAAACCAGAGTGATTCCTGGTATGCTGTGTGTCACCTGGTCCCAACAGTCTCATATTAACGCAGCGGTTTGCTTCTCTGCACAAATCTCGAGTCCGTGTTTGATGGAACGGCGGAACACAAACTGCCAGCGCTAATGAAACCTCCCCGTGTATACATTGGCGCGTGGTTTGGCCGCGGACTTCAAAGATGGCTGCCACAACGGAGAAGTTGTGTTCAAAGCGTCGGGGCCCGGTCTTCATCGGAGCCCGGTCTTCATCGGTGTCCAGCGGGCACAATGCTCTCGCGGACATGAAGGGGGCTCTTGAATCTGCCTCCATCTTTTCAACGTCAGCCCGTGTTTGTGCGTCCGGTCCACGGCGGCGCCTCCCGGAGGACAAACCTGCGCTGTGTCCCCCAGAGCTGTGCGTTCAAAGTGTAGGTTTGGACCAGAATGGCTTTGTAGCTTTAATAAATGCCTTACAGTATGTTGTTGTTGTTGATGATGAGTCCATAGCAACAATATGAGGCCGTGTTTTCAGGATGGAAGTTTAATGGTATAGCACGGTTCAATGTGGTTTTACTGCAAATGGCAAAAGAATCATTGAAACAAGGCGCTAAAATCATATTTAATTATTAAAAAGAGTGAAGATACAGAACAGAACTGCTTGGATTTGAACATTGTCAGAGAAGAAGCCTGTCTCACGTTTTCAGGAAGACTGTTCCAGAGTTTAGTTAGCGTAAATCTGAAACGCTGCCTCCTCATGTTTAGTCCTGAATCTGGGACCAGCAGCTGGCCTCGTCCCTGTGCTCCTCAGAGTCCCAGTTCATCACCGACTTTGGTACGAGACCATGGAGAGACTCTTACACAACCAGAGCTGGTTTAAAGTCCATTCTTTGAGCCACAGGAAGTAGAGACCTGATTCCAGGGCTAAAACGATGGTACTTCCTGGTTCAATGGTATTTCCTGGTTCGATGGTACTTTCTGGTTCGACGGTACTTATTTATTTATTTATTTATGGACATTTTATTGGAGGATAAACCCCATGAGATTCCTGGTTTGATGGTACTTCCTGGTTGTCGTCAGGACTGGAGCTTCATTTTCGTTTGGAGAACCCAGTGAGCAGACACACCGAGAGAAATGCAAAAACAAAATTGTTTAATTCCAGCTTGAAGTTATTCTTTATAAACTTTTTTTCTGAACCTTTTAGAATCCTTTTTTAATTTATGGTTTGTAATACTTATGCTGTTGGTTTATTGAAAAGCAGACAGTCGTAATTCTCTTTTGTCAGTGTTAGCAGATTGCTCACTGATAGCGCTGATTCAGGGACTTTTCAGACCATTTTCAGACCGGGCCAAAAACATTCACAAATTGGATGAAAATCTCTCATCAGCAATTTGTACAATCATAGAAACTGTGGCACATTGTGAGACACCTGTCATTTCCATTCCATCCACACCGACCATGAACTGGGACTAAAACAAGTTAGTTTGAATTTGATCTGCCACAGCAAAGTATTGTGTACGTTACAGAAAGAAAATAATTATTAGAGTAGAGTGTGTTTTTGCTACAGCGTGTGTTCACTCCAACAGCTTCATGAAACCACGGACTAACATGACGGATTGGTGCACTGCTGTGTGAGGACTCTCTGCTCTCCCTCTATGGTCTCTCTCTCTCTCTCTCTCTCTCTCTATACTTTCTTTGATCTCTCTCTCTTGTCTCTTCCTCTTAGGTCCCTTTCTTTGTTCTCTCTCTCACTCTGAACTCTATCTGGCTTCTTTCTCTCTGGTCTCTATCTTTTGCCTCTCTATGATCCCTCTCCCCAGACTCTCTCTCTTTCTCTCTCTCTGAACTCTCCCTGATCTTGCTCTCTCTCTCTGCTCTGTCTCTCATCTCCTTCTGAACCCTCTCCGGTCTCTCTCTCTCTCTCTGAATTATCTTTGGTCTCTCTTTCTTGCCTCTCTATTGTCCCTCTTTCTGGTCTCTCTCCCTCTCTGAACTCTATCTCTTGTGTCTATGATCTCTCTCTGGTCTTTCTCTCTGGTCTTTCTCTCTGGTGTCTCTCTCTGGTCTCTCCCTCTTTGGTCTCCCTCTCTGGTCTCTCTCTGGTCTCTCCCTCTTTGGTCTCCCTCTCTGGTCTCTCTCTGGTCTCTCTCTGGTCTCTCTCCGGTCTCTCCCTCTCTGGTCTCTCTCTGGTCTCTCCCTCTCTGGTCTCTCTCTGGTCTCTCCCTCTCTGGTCTCTCTCTCGGGTCTCTGCGTCTGTTTTTCCTGCAGACCATTCTAATATAAAAAGTAATAGTTTGATTTCCATGTCTTCATATACATTTACATACACCCCATAGACTGTATATATTAATGGACAGAGTCACGCCTATCTCCGCTGTTCTAAATAATGGGCCAAAAAATGTGCTCTACTGGACAAATCCAAAATGACAGCGAGTGGTCCCGCCCACAAGAAAATTGTGAAAAAACGCATCTGCGCATGCGTCAGCTGGTGCAGCTCCATTCATTTGAACGAGAGACTTCAAAAATTCACAGCAAGTAAACTAGAGTGGTCCAGAACACCCCCCTCAGCATTGACACACATGTGGAACGGAGCTTTGGGCCAAGAGCCAACTTTTGGTCCATCCTGTAAAGACGTTTTTGAGAGGTCTGCCAATGCTATATGCTAGCATTGGCTAATTCTTATTCCGGGTCCACCCCCATCGGCCCGGGGTGGTATTGCAGCATGTCAGAGCACGGTAATTTGGCCACTTTTGAGCCGGGACCCGCCCCCACTGGTCACACCGGACAGAAGCGGTGACCGCGTCTGTCCGGTGTGACCGTCTCTCCTGGCGCCCGGTGTTTCTCCCTGAGGCTTCTTTTTCCACGGAATCACAAGAAATTAATTTCCGCTCCGAAGAGAAACTCACAGAGACATTCTTCATGACATTCTCCTTCTCTCTCCCTCTCTCAACCTCACACTCTCTCTCTCTCTCTCTCCCTCTCCCTCTCTCGCCCTCTCTCTCTCTCTCCCTCTCTCCCTCTCTCTCTCTCCCTCTCTCCCTCTCTCCATCTCTCTCCCTCTCCCCCCTCTCCCTCTCTCTCTCCCTCTCTCTCTCTTCCTGTCATCTGCGAGCCACAAGTCCTAACCGGTCTAATAATAGTCCCGGTCCCGGATCATCAGGTGCTCAGATGGCCGGAAGTCTGTTCGTACTTAGACCACGGTATTTGGATCAAACTGCAGACTCTGTATTTCCGGGTTTTTTGGATTGTTTCATGAGGACTCCACGTGTTGCTGTGCGCCGGGTTTGATTAGCGCTCATAAGCTAGCACCAGCGCCGTTATCCTGTGTTCAGATCCAAAATAATCCAGATTTATTGTTGCCCTGTGGGAAAATGATCGTGTTTTTAAACTATAAATTCAGTGTGTTTTTGTGGGGCCCTAAATCACAACAGCAGTTATTGCAGAGGACTTTGTCGATTGGCCAGAGCAGATCAGAGAATCAAACGGGTCAAGGGCAGGAAATGCAATGATGAAAAAACCAGAGAGAGCAAAGAACAAAAACATAGAGGTCCATAGGGAGCAGGGGCATCGCTGTCCCACTCAGAAACCCTGTGGGGGAAAAAGTGAGAAACCTCAGGGAGAAAAAGACAAGAGAGAGGGACGAAAGAGACACCAACAAGAGAGACCAGGCAAGAGACAAGAGAGAAACAAGAGAGAGAGAGACTAGAGAGACACCAATGAGAGAAACAAGAGAGAGAGACCAGAGAGCCACCAATGGAGAAACAAGAGAGAGAGAGACCAGAGAGCCACCAATGGAGAAACAAGAGAGAGAGAGACCAGAGAGACACCAACGAGAGAAACAAGAGAGAGAGACCAGAGAGCCACCAATGAGAGAAACAAGAGAGAGAGACCAGAGAGCCACCAATGGAGAAACAAGAGAGAGAGAGACCAGAGAGACACCAACGAGAGAAACAAGAGAGAGAGAGAGACCAGAGAGACACCAACGAGAGAAACAAAGAGAGAGAGAGAGACCAGAGAGACACCAACGAGAGAAACAAAGAGAGAGAGAGAGAGAGACCAGAGAGACACTAACGAGAGAGTCCAGACAAGAAAACAGAGAGAAACAAGAGAGAGAAAGACTAGAGAGACACTAACGAGAGAAACAAGAGAAACACAAGAGAGAGAGACCAGACAAATCTTTTTGTAATGACTTGACTTTTTGTTATTATTGTTTGCATCTTTCTCCGGTTGGATCGAGCAGTGAACCTGTGAATATATGTGCCATACAAAAAAAGTGGACCACGAGGACCACTCTTTAGGATGACCCGCGATGCTGCTTTAGCCTCGGCTGCCCTGGGGCAAGCTGAAAAAAATCCAAGCTCGTCCTCTGCCTGCATGAACCACCACAAACAGACAAACAGCAATGACATTTTCCATCTCAAACCTTTACACCATTTTGATTATTATTCTTTTTTTTTTTGCCTGGAATCAAACCCGCAACCGTCCGCAGAGAGTCGGGGAGCGGGCGCCGGGCGGGTGTTTACGGACCACGTGGCGTACACAGCATGAAATATTCAGTTTGATCACAGTAGCACATTTGTGACCTACTTCACGGTAATTGGCTTCACACACTCACCCACTTTAACTCACAGAGATGATCTATGGGACGGATGATCACTCTGATGTGGACTTAGAAATACATTACAAACTTCCAGATGGAACTTCCAAATGGATTTTCCCTGTATGCAAATATCGGGAAAATGTGTTTGCCTATCTATCTCCAAATGATTTAGTCTCTGGGGTTCTCTCTCTGGTCTCGCTCTGGTCTGTCTCTGGTCACTCTCTCTCTCTCTGGTCTGTCTCCGGTCTCACTCTGGTCTTGCTCTGGTCTGTCTCTGGTCTGGCTTTGGTCTCTCTCTGGTGCCTCACTGGTCTCTCTCTGGTGTCTCTCTTGTCTGTCTCCTGTCTCGCTCTGGTCACTCTCTCTCTCTCTGGTCTGTCTCCGGTCTCACTCTGGTCTGGCTCTGGTCTCTCTCCAGTCACTCTCTGGTCTCTCTCTTGTCTGTCTCCTGTCTCGCTCTGGTCTCTCTCTTGTCTGTCTCCTGTCTCGCTCTGGTCTCTCTCTGGTCTGTCTCCTGTCTCGCTCTGGTCTCTCTCTGGTCACTCTCTCTCTCTCTGGTCTGTCTCTGGTCTCACTCTGGTCTCTCTTTTCCTTGTCTCTACATCTGGTCTCTCTCTTGTTTCTCTTTGGTCTCTCTCTCTCACTGGTCTCTCTAGTGTCTCTCTTGTTTCTCTCTCCCTCTGGTCACTTTCTCTTGTCTCTCTCTTCTCTCTTTCTTTAGTCTTTGCTCTGGTCTGTCTCTTCTCTCTCTTTCTTGTCTCTCTCTGGCCTCTCTCCCGTCTCTCTTTGTTCCATCCCACTCTGGTCTCTCACTTGTTTGCAGAATCCCAAAAATCCATACATCTTTGCAAGTGTAAATGAGAAAAACCCTAACTTTAAAACTCACACAAACTCTTCCATCTCTTTTCTTCCCACATCAGTACCACATCATTGAACCCGGGTCCAGGTGATTGAAACGCCCGACCCACTTTATCCTGAACCGAATCTAAACCGTGCGTGGGCCGACGTGAACCGCGGCGCTCGGTAGACTAGTCCACAATAAGAGATTTCAACAGAATTAGCCGGTCCGCTCGTGTTTCGGTCCAGCTAATATCCGGGGGCAATCAAGTCGATAACCCATGGCCGACCGGAACTAACGTCTTAAGCCTCAACATTGGGGGAGGAATGGGGGAGGGAGGGGGGAGGTCAGCGGGGGGGTATGCATACATCAAACAGCACACAGTATGGAGAATCAACAAGCGTTTTGGAGGCAGGCTTATGAGCAGAACGCCGCAGCGACTCCCCGGGCGGCGGCGCTCTGCTGGTAAATTCAGCATTAGCCACGAATTGGTAGATACTTCTCTGGGTAAGTCTCTGCGTGAAAAACACAAACCCGGGTCGTGTTAAAGGAGAGGAGAGACTGCCATCTGAGGACAAGTGAGTGATGGGAATGGTATAGTAGCCAGAGAGTCTAGGGTGAGAGACCCAAGAGAGGCCAGAGAGAGACCAGAGGGAGAGAACATAGAGAGTCCAGGGTGAGAGACCCAAGAGAGGCCAGAGAGAGACCAGAGGGAGAGAACATAGAGAGTCCAGGGTGAGAGACCCAAGAGAGGCCAGAGAGAGACCAGAGGGGGAGAGCATAGAGAGTCCAGGGTGAGAGATTCAAGAGAGGCCAGAGAGAGACTAGAGGGAGAGAACATAGAGAGTCCAGGGTGAGAGACCCAAGAGAGGCCAGAGAGAGACCAGAGGGAGAGAACATAGAGAGTCAAGGAAGAGAGACACAAGAAAGGCCAGAGAGAGAGAACATAAAGAACACAAAGAGAAAACCTAGAGAGTCCAGGAAGAGAAACCCAAGAGAGGCCAAAGAGAGACCAGAAAGAAAGAACATACAGTAGAGAGTCCAGGGAGAGAGACCAGAGAGAAAGACTTGAGAGAGACCGCTGAGAGAAACCAGAGAGAGAGAACAAAGAGAAAGAATTGAGAGTGACCGGTGAGAGAAACCTTGAGAGACTTGAGAGAGAGACCAGAGGGAGAGAACGTAGAAAGACCTGAGAGAGGCCAGAGAGAGATCACAGAGGGACCAGAGAGAGACACCAGTGAGATACCAAAAAGAGACCAGAGAGAGACTGGAGAGAGACTAGAGAGAAACACCAGAGAGAGACCAAAAAGAGACCAGAGAGAGACCAGATCCAAGACATGTCTGGACTGTGTTGATCCTGCTCCTATGAACCAATGCCAATGTTTGTCATTTGTGCATTTCCTGTTTTTGAACGGTTTGATTCTCTGATCTGATACATTGAATTGAAACAGATTCAGGCCAGTGGTGTTTATTTACTACTCAAAAGCATTGGAAAGCATATATTAGCTACTTTTGACATTAGCATTTGCTGGAAAAGCTCAAGTTTAGGGCCACACATGTTAAAGTTTAGGGTAACAAACAGCTGCTCTGTATCTTATTGCTACCTCATGTCTACGATTAATTCCACACGTCGAACTTGACAGACTCACTTCTCAAACAACTTTATTATTTCTGATTATTCCATCATTTGTCCTATTTATCCAATCATAAATATGTCCTCCGGGGGCAGCGCAGCGCACCCCTCTCTCCTGCCATCCCAGACAGTGTTTTACCGCATGTGTTGGTTATAGATGGCCCGGGTGATGGATTTGGTCATAATATTAATGTAAGGCTGACAGGACCCGCTCATGAATCACCTCAACTTTATTTCAAAGCTGCCGCCGTCACAAAAAAGTCATCCATAAAACGTCAACGGGCGCTAAAGCATTATGAAGCAGGTTTGATAGTGGCGTTTAGTTATCGCCGCCGCGCTTATTTAGTGTTGTGTCTTGTGTGTGTGACGTCTGCCCCCGATCAGAGAGAGGAGGAGGGGGGGGGGGGGGGGGGTAACTGTGTCCTCTGTGTGGGTGAGGTCTGCCCCATCAGAGGGGGGAGGGAGGAGGGAGGGTAGAGGGGATGGAGGGGGCAATGTGTCCTCTGTGTGGAAGGACTGCCCCATCAGGGAGGAGAGGGGAAGGGGAAGAGAGGGGATGCCAGGAGCAACTGTGTCCTGTGGGTGAGGTCTGCCCCATCGGAGGTGGGAGGGGGGGTAACGGTGTCCTCTGTGTGGGTGAGGTCTGCCCCGTCAGGGAGGGGGGGTGCAACTGTCCTGACTTTACAGAAGTTTGTATCGGATATTTCTACAAAACAGACTGGATCCACAACCATTCATGTAGGTTTGTAGTGGTTAGCCATGCTTCTAAGGTCAGGCATATACAGTAGGGTTGTAGTGGTTAGCCATGCTTCTAAGGTCAGGCATATACAGTAGGGTTGTAGTGGTTAGCCATGCTTCTAAGGTCAGGCATATACAGTAGGGTTGTAGTGGTTAGCCATGCTTCTAAGGTCAGGCATATACAGTAGGGTTGTAGTGGTTAGCCATGCTTCTTAGGTCATTTATGAAGGTTTGGAGTGGTTAGCAATGCTTCCAAGTTCCCCCCTCCTCCTCTCCTCCCCCCGCTCCTCCTCTCCTCCCCCCTCCTCCTCTCCTCTCTCCCCCCATCCTCTCCTCCCCCCGCTCCTCCTCTCCTCCCCCCCTCCTCTCTCTCCCCCCCTTCTCCTCTCTCTCTCCCCCTCCTCCTCTCCTCTCTCTGTCTCTGTCTCTGTCTGTGTGGTGCATTTGGAAGACGTCTGCTGCTCTCTGCAGTCTGAACTGGGATCCTGTCTCAGCCCTGTGCTGCTGCTGCTACTGCTGCTGCTGCTGCTACTGCTGCTCATACAGACGCACACACACACACACTCACACACGCACGCACAATATAAAAGACTTCATATTGTGGCTTATCTACACATTTCTTTGATTTAGAGAAGACGTCACAGTTGAACAGGTGTGTGTATATTTGTGTATACGTGTATGTGTATGTATATATTTGTGTATCTGTGTTTGTATATATGTGTGTATGTGTATATTTGTGTATCTGTATGTGTGTATTTATATATTTGTGAATCTGTTTGTGTGATGAATCTGTGTGTATGTATATATTTGTGCATCTGTGCGTGTATCTGTGTGTGTATTTTTGTGTACATGTGTGTGTATGTCTATATTTGTGCATCTTTGTGTATCTGTGTATGTATATATTTGTGCATCTGTGTGTGCGTGCATCTGTGTGTGTATTTTTGTGTACATGTGTGTGTATGTATATATTTGTTCATCTGTGTGTGCGTGTATCTGTGTGTGTATTTTTGTGTATATGTGTGTATGTATATATTTGTGTATCTGTTTGTGTGTACTATTGACTTTTATGTTTCTAGGCCGCAGCACTTTGCAAACACTGCTTTTTTAAAAGTGCTAAACAAATAATACACATTATTATTATCATTATGACTGATATTAACCATTGAATTGTTTTATTTCCCAATGAAAACATCTTTTGAGTTTAGAATAAGACTCATTTCACTTAGTTCGTCACTAAAACCTACTCATTCATTCCCGCGGCACCCTCTGCGTATCCTCCCTGGACCTAATACATGCGTCACACCTCCACACATTCCCGCTGATTACAAAGATTACATATTTAAAAGTCTTTCCCCGGCTGCAGCTACCTGGTGCGAGCTAGTACGGATATTGTTCCGTACTAGTTGCTGTGTAGAACTACATTTCCCAGGAGGCCGCGGGGCATTCTCATTACACCACATTACACATTAGTAATATATGCAACCTGGAGAGCTTTGATTACTCAGTCCCGTCACGGCGGCGAAGGAGATTAGGACACGACTCTTGTTTCTCTGTGTGTACATAGACGCACACATATTTCACACTTGGTTTTTTTTCGCAGATTTAGAATAAAATAAACTATTGTTGTGCGTCTTGTTGGTACAAAACGATTCAGAAGGAACAGAATTACAACGTTAATGAAGCTGGTGTTGACATTCGCCTGATTACCGCAGACTCCGGATACAGAGCGGGATCGCTTAAACCTCGTACAAACACGCGGCGGTGGCGTGTGTCCATCGTATGCCGATTACGGGGGAAAAACGTCTGTTGTAACCACGGCGACGTCACAGCACTTTTTTAAACAGAGTACGTCACCTGAGCCACAACAGGCTGCATGATTCTCTCTCCTCTCTCAACTTCTCTCCTCTTTCCCATCTCTCCTCTCTCTCCTCTTTCGTCTCTCTCTCCTCTTTCCTCCTTCCTCTCCCATCTCTCCTCTCTCTACTCTTTCCCATCTCTCCTCTCTCAATTTGTCTCCTCCCATCTCTCCTCTCTCTTATCTTCTCCTCTCCTCTCTCTTCTCTCAACTTCTCCTCCCCTCTCACCCCTCCTCTCTCTCCCCTGTCCTCTCTCTCTCCTCTCTCTCTCTCTGTCCTCTCTCTCTCCTCTCCCTCTCTCTCGCTGTCCTCTCTCTCCTCTGTCCTCTCTCTCCTCTGTCCTCTCTCTCTCCTCTTCCTCTCTCTCTCTCTCTCTCCTCTCTCTCTCTCTCCTCTGCTCTCTCTCTCCTCTGCTCTCTCTCTCCTCTGCCCTCCCTCTCTCCTCTGTCCTCTCGCTCTCTCTCCTCTGCCCTCCCTCTCTCCTCTGTCCTCTTTATCTCTCCTCTGTCCTCTTTATCTCTCCTCTGTCCTCTCTCCTCTGTCCTCTCTCACTCCTCTCCCTCTCTCTCTCCTCTTCATCTCTCTCTCCTCTGTCCCCTCTCTCTCTCTCCTCTGTCCTCTCTCTCTCCTCTGCCCTCCCTCTCTCCTCTGTCCTCTCTGTCCTCTCTCTCTCCTCTCTCTCTCTCTCCTCTGTCCTCTCTTTCTCCTCTTCCTCTATCTCTCCTCTGTCCCCTCTCTCTCTCTGTGTCCTCTCTCTCTCTCTGTCCTCTCTCTCTCCTCTGTCCCCTCTCTCTCTCTCTCTCTCTCTCTCTCTCCTCTGCTCTCTCTCTCTCTCTGTCCTCTCTCTCTCCTCTGTCCTCTCTCTCTCCTCTGTCCCCTCTCTCTCTCTCTCTCTCTCTCCTCTGCTCTCTCTCTCTGTCCTCTCTCTCTCCTCTGTCCTCTCTCTCCTCTGTCCTCTCTCTCCTCTGCTCTCTCTCTCCTCTGTCCCCTCTCTCTCTCTCTCCTCTGCTCTCTCTCTCCTCTGCTCTCTCTCTCCTCTGTCCTCTCTCTCTCTGTCCTCTCTCTCTCCTCTCTCTCTCTCCTCTCTCTCTCCTCTCTCTCCTCTGTCCTCTTTATCTCTCCTCTGTCCTATCTCTCTCCTCTGTCCTCTCTCACTCCTCTTCCTCTCTCTCTCTCCTCTGTCCTCTCTCTCTCCTCTTCCTCTCTCTCTCCTCTGTCCCCTCTCTCTCTCTCTCCTCTGTCCTCTTTATCCTCCTCTGTCCTCTCTCTCTGTCCTCTCTCTCTCCTCTCTCTCTCTCTCCTCTGTCCTCTCTCTCTCCTCTTCCTCTCTCTCTCCTCTGTCCCCTCTCTCTCTCTCTCTCTCTCTCTCTCTCTCCTCTGCTCTCTCTCTCTGTCCTCTCTCTCTCCTCTGTCCTCTCTCTCTCCTCTGTCCTCTCTCTCCTCTGCCCTCTCTCTCTCTGTCCTCTCTCTCTCCTCTGTCCCTCTCTCTCTCTCTCTCTCTCTCTGTCTCTCTCTCCTCTGCTCTCTCTCTCTGTCCTCTCTCTCTCCTCTGTCCTCTCTCTCTCCTCTGTCCTCTCTCTCCTCTGTCCTCTCTCTCCTCTGCTCTCTCTCTCCTCTGTCCCCTCTCTCGCTCTCCTCTGCTCTCTCTCTCCTCTGCTCTCTCTCTTCTCTGCCCTCTCTCTCTCTCCTCTGTCCTCTCTCTCTCACTCTCTCTCTCTGTCTCTCTCTCCTCTGCTCTCTCTCTCTGTCCTCTCTCTCTCCTCTGTCCTCTCTCTCTCCTCTGTCCTCTCTCTCCTCTGTCCTCTCTCTCCTCTGCTCTCTCTCTCCTCTGTCCCCTCTCTCGCTCTCCTCTGCTCTCTCTCTCCTCTGCTCTCTCTCTTCTCTGCCCTCTCTCTCTCTCCTCTGTCCTCTCTCTCTCACTCTCTCTTCAATAATTGCCACATCTTATAAACTCCAGCAACAAAATGCATCAACACAAAGTCACTGCTGCGGCGAGAAACAGAAAAACGGCCGAGACTTTTCTCCAAGAATAAGTTTTTTTTTGTGGAGATCAAAACTGTAAAAATGCGACTCTCGTGAGAAAAGGCTAAAGCTAACTCTGCTCAGACTTGCTTTTATGTGTCGGCTTCTTTCCACAACTTTTCCATGTTCGAAATCATGTTTGTCGTATAATAGAGGGGAGATTTGTGTGTGTGTGTGTGAGTGCGTGTGTGTGTGTGTCTGTGTTAGTGTGTGTGTGTGAGATGCCATTGGGATTATCTCATATCTTTCTCCACAATTAGAGCATTTAGCAGTGGGAGGGGCAGGAATGAGAGAGATGTGTGTGTGCGTTTGTGTGTTTTGTGTGTGTGTGTGTGTGTGTGTGTGTGCGTTTCTGTGTGTGTGTGTATGTGTGTGTCTGCCATGGGACGGCCCACTCTGGGGTCATCCTGGGTCCAGGGGGTCCCATAGTGTCCAGGAGTGCAGGACAGACCACAGCTGCACACCATAACACACACACAGAGACACACACACACAAACACACATACAGAGATACACAGACACACACACACACATTCACAAACACACATACAGAGATACACAGACACACACACTCACAAACACACATACAGAGATACACAGACACACACATACTCACAAACACACATACAGAGATACACACACACACACACACACATACTCACACACACATACAGAGATACACAGACACACACATACAGAGATACACAGACACACACACACTCACAAACACACATACAGAGATACACAGACACACACACACATTCACAAACACACATACAGAGATACACACACACACACAAACACACATACAGTGATACACACGCACTCACAAACACACATACAGAGATACACAGACACACACACACATACACGTTTTTGTTACCTGGTGGGTCCCTTTGACAGGGCCGTTCAGAATGGGACCCATAGACATAATCTTTTTTTACCAAGACTTTAAGTAATACAAAACAGTCAATAGAAACCAAACAACTATTTTAAAGGAATTTTATTTTAGATTTTGTTTTCGAATTGCAGTGATTCTATTTTTGACATAGAATTTAATGCCACTCCATGTCCGATGTCTAAGGTCATCTGGTGAGGCATTAATGCAGGCCAGGCAGTGAGACTTCCCAGGGACCTTTCCAGTCTGTATGAAAGGTGTCATGGTCTTCTCCACAGCCTTCACCTCAGATGCAGACCATGGCTTTCTTACACGTTCTAGGGAGAGAAATAAAAATATATTAGCAATATACACTCCCAGGGTGAGGACCAAGCAGCCTGGCTGTAATCCCCCACCTGGTACACTTACCAGAAGGGGCACTGCCACTACCATGGGGTGCATCTGGATGAATGGTTGAAGGTTCTCCGCTTGAAGTTTCTTTTAGCCCGTCCGTTTGTGAGAGGATCTCTACTGCTCTCCCTGTCGCACAGAAAATAAAAATACAAGTGGCCTTTAGGGGAAAAAAATCATACATATTTTAATAATATCAAGAATTACCTTCAGGCTCAATTTGTATCTGGTCGAGGCTCTTTCCTTCGAATTCCGTCACTCTTCCCTGCTCCATGGCCATCAACACTTTGCTGATTTTGGCCAGCTCCAGTGTCCCCTCTGGTAGTCTGTAATATTGCCTGTGGATGCGAATGTCATGGCCGAGGAAGTTGGCAAGTATGTCCATCTCATTCTCTTTCATATTGAGAACTGTAGACATAGTAGCTATGTGCTTTCTAAGTTTGGTTGAGGATAGCATCTCTGGATGCACCGCACCACATTCTTTGGCTACCTGGCGTAGGGAGTCTGATCCCCTGATGTGGGTGTCTGCGCCCGGGCGGGAAAAGAAGTATGGGTTATGGTCAGAGATGGAACAGGCCCTTCTGTTCTCCACCAGCACCTCCATCGAAGCAATCATTTCAGGAGTCAAAAGAACCGGCACTTTCCGACTTCTTTTCCCTTTAATTTCAATGCGTTGAAAATGCTGACACAGCTTTTTCTCAAGTTGGGACAGTCCCAGAGCAATGTCAGAATGGATCCCAGTCTTACTTCTTAAGGTAAAGGCTGTCAGTGGCATCTTTGAAACCTCACCTTCCCTTCTTCGATTGAAAATGATGACCTCACAAAGAGTCAAAACTGCCAGTTTAGACCAATGCTTAGACGTTGGCTCACTTATTAGGGTTTGCACATATTCAGGTCGACATACCTCAATATGTGCATGCATGGCTCTAACGTCCTCAGTCAGAGGGAGCAGGTCCGGAGTGTTCCACTTGGCTTGCCGGAGGGTCTGTAGGGCAGCAGAAGAAACACAGACGTCCCACCTCTTCTCAAAAAGCAGCCGGCTTCGTTGGAGGTTTTTAATAAATAGTTCATCAACACAATGCTCCATTTTTGAGTCACATTCAAGAATATCTGCTAGCTTTCTGAGGCTATGGCCGAGTTTGAGGGCCAAGGATGGAGTCTTGTATTGATTTGTTTCCTCATCATATCCAGCCACAGACCTGACTGCATCAATCACATGGTTAAAGTTGGAAGGAATAAAGAAATCCTTAATTGTTTTCAGTTTCCCTGCGGTTTTTGCTTCGTTAATTAACCTACCGACTTCTCTCATTTTCTGCCTAATGTAATCATGCTTAGTCTTATCATGCCCGTGTTTTAAGTACAGGTGCTCTCCGAGTCTCAGAATCCCCTTTTCTGCTTTGACAACACCCGTGACCTCATCCTGATGCATTGCCGAAATTAAAGACCACAGCTTTTTGCTGATGCCCTCCGGTACAGGCTGGGCTAGGGAGCAGAGGGACTGGACCCTACTTCTACCTGGTTTAGCCTGGGCATCTTTCTGTGAAAGCCGGCACCTGGCCACATGCCTCCACAGCGACTTTCGCTTAAGCAATGCCCCACAGTCTATACAGTGCAAAAACTCACTGGATTTAACTGGGGAATTTGGCTGTTTAGCTGGGACTAAAGTTCCAATGCCGGCCTTTAAAACCTCAAAATTGTGCTCACGGTTTCCACTATTCCTGATCAAATCAAACTGAAGTTTACGTGCTTTAGATTTCACAGGTAGAGCCAATGCTCTGGCTACGTCACTTTCATTTCCATGTTTTCTAGTCAAATGACGGGACATTTTGTGGCAGGACATTGAACAGTAGAGGCAGAAGTGTCTCTTGCTGTATACTCGCCCCCCATTTTTCTTCTTTTGCAGCTGCATGATAACAATCTTATTTGCCTTTGGTTCGTCACTTTCCGAGTCTTGAAGAAAAGTGTTTTTGATTTTTCTTTTTCCATACTTTTTTACAGGTTTCTTCTTGACAGTTAAATCGTCAGAATCTGAGTCGACTTCATCAATTAGGGACTCTTGACTAAGCTGCACAAACAACAAATAATTTGTAATCATTCTATATAACAATTTGAAGTCATGACTTGTAGTCAGCACTTACCAGTGGTTTGTAAGCGTGCGCTTCAGTGTGCTCCTCCATGATTTCTTGCAGCCTAATGAACCACACACTTGCACCTTTTTCTAGCCTGACACCTGATTTCCTCTGTTGTGCTGCTCCATGATTGGCTCCAGCCTGCTGGACTGAAATTGCCCCAGTGTGCCCCTCCTTGATATCCCGCAACCCACCACCAGGGTTCCGACACATAACACACTTTTTTCAGGAAAGTAAACCTCCAGGGGTCCTTTCCATATTTTTACAGAGACTGCATAAGGACCGTTAGAAAAGCATTACCCATTGATTATTAAGCTTGGACCAGTGGGGTCCGGTGTTCGGGCCCCACCACGTAAAACCAGTCCCCATGACGTGAGTGGAATCTCAGGTTATGGAACCCACCAGGAGTTGAAAACAAGTGCACACACACTCACAAACACACACACAGAGATACACACACACACACTCACAAACACACATACAGAGATACACAGACACACACACACACTCACAAACACACACACAGAGATACACACACACAAACACACACACAGAGATACACACACACACACAGAGATACACAGAGTAAATAATAAACATACTTTTCTCTACGTGCTTCAAGTTGGACCGGACAATTCTGAATATTTTAAACTGGACTTTTATCTTTTTGTTGATCCCCGTTTCTCATCAGGGTCTCAGGAAGTCTCAGTTCTCGCAGGTCCAGTCCGTCTGTTGGCGCGCAAATCCACAACAATCCCACGTTTGGAGAAGTCCGGGGGCAGCTGGCGTTCCCACCGCTCGACCCCAAAGCGGCGGCCAAAAAACGGCGAAACCCTATCTGGGCTGCACCTGGAGTCCTGCACCAGGGCGGCGGTGAGCAGCAGCTGGAGGGAGAGAAGGGAACGCCGTCCTGATCCGGGGGGAGAGAAGGGAACGCCGTCCTGATCCGGGGGGAGAGAAGGGAACGCCGTCGTCATCCGGGGGGAGAGAAGGGAACCAAAGAGAGACCAGAGAGAGAAGCCAGAGAGAGACCAGAGAAAGACCAGAAAGAGACGAGAGAGACCAGCGAGAGACCAGAGAGAGACCAGAGAGGGAGCAGAGAGAGACCAGAGAGGGACCAGAGAGAGACCAGAGAGAGAAGCCAGAGAGAGGCCAGGGAGAGACCAGAGAGAGCCCAGAGAAAGACCAGAAAGACCAGTGAAAGACCAAAGAGGGACCAGAGAGAGACCAAAGAGAGACCAGAGAGAGAAGCCAGAGAGAGCCCAGAGAAAGACCAGAAAGAGAGGCCAGGGAGAGACCAAAGAGGGACCAGAGAGAGACCAAAGAGAGACCAGAGAGAGAAGCCAGAGAGAGCCCAGAGAAAGACCAGAAAGACCAGTGAAAGACCAAAGAGGGAGAGAGACCAGCGAGAGACCATGAGAGTGTAGCCAGAGAGTGAAGCCAGAGAGAGACAAGAGTGAAACCAAAAAGAGACCAGCGAGAGACCAGAGAGAGACCAGAGAGAGACCATCAAGAGGGACCAGAGAGAAGCCAGATAGAGGCCAGAGAGAGACCAGAGAGTGAAGCCAGAGAGAGACTAGAGAGAGGCCATCAAGAGGGACCAGACAGAGACCGGAAAGACCAGTGAAAGACCTGAGAGAGACCAGAGAAAGAGAAGAAAGAGACCAGAGAGAAAGACCAGAGGGGGGCCAGAGAGAGACTAGAGATAGACCATCAAGAGAGACCAGAGAGGCATGTGTTGTTTTCCTAAGTTTTCCTAAAATGCCCAGTGGATGAGAAGCAGTGTCTCTGTGATAATGTCCTCAGACCTCGGTGTCAGACTGATCCTTGTGAGTCTCCTGCAGCTGTGGACTCCGCGGCTCATGTTCCAGATCTCACAGATGTGGTCCGGAAAAGGCCGGTCCGGTGCCCACCTGTCCACCTCCGACCTCACGGATTAAAAACTCAGCAGGAGTCCCGACCGTGGACACAGAGACAATCGGTCAAACTTCTTTTATGAGTTTTTTTAATGCAATTAAAGTTGAAGCTAAAACCAACAGTCCCTGAATGCTAGAGGCTAAACATGTTCTTATAGTTTAAGAGAAATATTTTAACTAAAACTTAAAATAGTAGCGTCTATAGCCTCAGTCCTGGGTCTACAGCCTCAGTCCTGGATCTACAGCCTCCGTCCTGGATCTACAGCCTCAGTCCTGGATCTACAGCCTCAGTCCTGGGTCTACAGCCTCCGTCCTGGATCTACAGCCTCAGTCCTGGGTCTACAGCCTCAGTCCTGGATCTACAGCCTCAGTCCTGGATCTACAGTCTCAGTCCTGGATCAGTCCTGGGTCTACAGCCTCAGTCCTGGATCTACAGCCTCCGTACTGGATCTACAGCCTCAGTCCTGGGTCTACAGCCTCCGTCCTGGATCTACAGCCTCAGTCCTGGGTCTACAGCCTCAGTCCTGGATCCAGCAGACGATGGACAGACTCGCGAGGCAGAGGGAACACGGCGACCCAGTGTTGAACATGTGACCTGGCTGGACCTGCGGAGAGGCCCAGCTGAGGTGAGTGTAAGGGGGGAGCGGGGGAGAGGGGGGAGTGGGGTCTGTTTGGCTGTACGCAGTATTTGGCCGTCTGCCCCAGCCCCATTGACCGGACAGCTGAACCAGTGCGGGGCTCAGGGGGGAGAGAGGGATGGGGTCAGCACAGTTAGCACGGCTCAGGCTGAGGTCTCCACTGTCAAACACACACACGCACACTGTACATCGCCCCCTGAGTGGCTACAGAAGTAGTTCATCACCACCGAGAGAATAATGACATATTGAGTGTCCAAAATGTGCTAAATAAAACCAATGTATTATTATTATTATTATAAATGGTACTTTGGGATGGCAAGGCGGAGGGCCACATAACGGGACACAGCGGGCCAAAATTGACCCTCAGGCCTGAGTTTGGACATGCCTGACTTCATCCGATGTTAGTGTTGAGGCTATAAATGAGTAAATAAATAAAAAGGCTACTCAAATTCTATAAAAACATGACCATAACCCAAATACAAGCTGTGGATTTACCCGTCTTCCCATGTCGGTTGTTGGTGGGCGGAGCCCGGGCCTGGTTCCAGCCAATGGGGTGTGGGTGCGTGTGAACGGAGGGGCTGCAGGCACAGATGGTGGACAGGCCTCAAACCGGTGCCACTGGGGGGGTCCCTTCATGACAGGTAGAAGCAGGGACTCTCTGTGAGACATGTGACAGATCTGTTGGGACGTCCCAGGCTCGGGGGGATCCGACGAGGGCCTGGAGACGTAAAAAAGTAAGTATTTTTATTTGTGTTATTATGGCGCCTTTTCACAGACCAGAGATCACAAAAGTGGTTCACAAGGATTTTTGCATTGTGTACAGTCTCACAAACGTCGGACCCCCACATAAACTAAATACTAAAAGGCTAAATATAAACTCATTTTGGTAGCATTGGTGACTACAGTTTTTTTTTTATTCTTATTGGTTTTCAGCTCATCGGCAGCAGCTGTTGAGCGGGTAGTCAAACATTTGCAGACTCAAATATTGGCAGTTCTCGAGAAAGACACGCAGCTTACCTGTGTACACACTGCAAAAAGTGACAAAAATAAGTCAAAAATGCCTTGAATAAATTAAAAATGTGTCTTTGGTTGATGAAAATTCCGACTGTCATTAAAAAAGAGATTGCAAGGAAGACTCAAGGTGATTACAGGTGTGTGTGTGTGTGTGTGTGTGTGTGTGTGTGTGGGTGTTGTTATGTGTGTGTCTTTGTGTATGTACATGTGTTCTTGTATGCGTGTGTGTGTGCGTGAATAAAATCTATAACTCTAGCATCTATCATAATTAGGAAAAAAGTCCAAAATCTCCAAACTTTAGCATGATGAAGAAGCAAGACTTAAGTAAGGTTGAAGATCCAGGACTGAGGCTGTAGACCCAGGACCTGAGACTTAAGATCCAGGACTAAGGCTGTAGACCCAGGACTGAGACTTAAGATACAGGACTGATGCTGTAGACCCAGGACTGAGACTTAAGATCCAGGACTAAGGCTGTAGACCCAGGACTGAGACTTAAGATACAGGACTGAGGCTGTAGACCCAGGACTGAGACTTAAGATACAGGACTGATGCTGTAGACCCAGGACTGAGGCTGTAGACCCAGGACTGAGACTTAAGATACAGGACTGATGCTGTATACCCAGGACTGATGCTGTAGACCCAGGACTGAGGCTGGAGACCCAGGACTGAGGCTGTAGGTCCAAGAGTGAGGCTGCAGATCCAGACCTGAGACTGTAGATCCAGGACTGATGCTGTAGACCCAGGACTAAGGCTGTAGACCCAGGACTGAGGCTGTAGACCCAGGACTGAGGCTGTAGATCCAGGACTAAGGCAGTAAACCCAGGACTGACGCTGTAGATCCAGGACTGAGGCTGTAGAGTAGACCCAGGACTGAGGCTGTAGATCCAGGACTGAGGCTGTAGATCCAGGACTGAGGCTGTAGACCCAGGACTGAGTATCAACACTGCTCCTGAACACTCTCTCTCTCTCTCGCTCCATTATTCATCTCCATTTTGTTTTATTTAACCCACATTTCCCGCCTATCTGCTCACGGCTGCTCAAAGTTCTTTAAGTAGATCTTTAGTGCGTGGCCTCCCCTTCCCACTTCACACTTACCGCACGGACACGCCGGCATCCATCAGCCGCCAAACCAGCCGAGCGCCGGGGCCAGATCTGTCGCGGAAAGTGCTTTTTGATGAAGTCGTTCATAAATTTTAATACAACATGTCAGCCAACATGATGTATAGACTAGCAGCTCATTCATATTTGATGGCGGCTGGCGTTGAGCGAAAACACTACCTAGTTCTACCTTAGGCCCATGAGTGAAGGCGGAGAGAGGGGGGAGAGAGGGGGAGAAGAGGGGATGAGGTACACCCAACACGACGGCTGTCAAAACACGGGCCGAGGTGAAGAGAGATGCTGCAAAGAATATTATTTTGAAATGGTGTGGATTTTTATTACTTGTGTGTTGAGGTAAAGTGTGTTCACTGGTCCCTATATATATTGTGGTTCGCCTTTAGATGTTTAACCATGTTTACAGCTTCAGTCCTGGGTCTACAGCCTCAGTCCTGGGTCTACAGCCTCAGTCCTGGATCTACAGCTTCAGTCCTGGGTCTACAGCCTCAGTCCTGGATCTACAGCCTCAGTCCTGGGTCTACAGCCTCAGTCTTGGATCTATAGCCTCAGTCCTGGGTCTACAGCCTCAGTCTTGGATCTATAGCCTCAGTCCTGGGTCTACAGCCTCAGTCTTGGATCTACAGCCTCAGTCATTTCTCAGTATACAGTCAGTGGGGGCGGGTCCCGGCTCAAAAGCGTCCAAATTACCGTGCTCTGACATGCTTGCAATACCACCCCGGGCCAATGGGGGTGGACCCGGAATAAGAGTTAGCCAATGCTAACATATAGCATCTTCTTACCTCTCGAAAACGTCTTTACAGGATGGTCCAAAAGTCGGCTCTTGGCCCAAAGCTCCGTTCCACATGTGTGTCAATGCTGAGGGGGGTGAATTTTTTTGGACCGCTCTAGTTTACACGCTTTGAATTTTAGCGTTTTTTCACATTTTCCAGCCCCCGCGGCCATTTTGAATCGTTCCATGAAAGCCCAATTTTTGGCTCATTAGGTAGAACTGCGGAGATAGGCGTGACTACGTTTGTTAATATATACAGTCTATGGCAGGGGTGCTCAATACGTCGATCGCGATCTACCAGTCGATCTCAAAGGTAGTATTGGTAGATCGCATTAAATAAATAAAAATTTACACATTCTAAACGAATATATACAAAAAACTCCGGGCAAAGTGGAGATTTTTGAAAACTCCGTTAATGCATTTGTGTGTAGACAGAGATAACCGGAGTTTTGCGCTCTCGCACGCCACAGTACCCTCCTAAATTCCTCTGATCACTGAAGCATGGATCATACTACCTTAAAAACTGTTCACTGTGAGATGCTCGCAGCAGCGAACATCCTCGCTCCACATCAGAGAGCAGCAAAGTGATCGCGGGGACTCACGCTCGAAAACAACTAAACCAGGACTAAACCAGGACTAAACCAGGACTTAACCAGGACTTAACCAGGGCTGAGGACGGGGTCAGTGCTTGTAAACATACGTCTTACTCTTTACTCTGAGTGTCTTCTATGACTGTAAAAGTGCCGTTAACGGCGTCTGCATCAAAGCTCCGCCCACTTCTGTGTTTTTCCCCAACGCAGGACAGGACGTAAGAGACGCACGTTTGGAATGTTACGAATGTGATTGATAACGCAGATGTGTGGATGCAAATTATTTTATAAACTGAGGAGGGGAAATATTTGGATTTAAAAAAAACAGGCATGGCACCACAGTCAAATGACATCTATGTTTTACTCAGTAATGTTTTACTGACACTTAGGTGACTGCACATGCGCAAACAACCGCGCTCAGTGCAGGAAAGCTAAACCACAACAAACTTGTCAGCGAGTTGCCACCAATTTTCCGGACTATGCATCCCTGGCTGATTCAATTCAGTGCAAGTCATAAGAGTAAACTCGGGTAATGACAAAAAATGTACATAGGTAATTGTGTTGTGTTGTGCTATATTGGCTCATGCGGTTTTGCATGTACATAAACATACATTGTAGATATAAAGAATATTTTTTGAAATATATGATTTGCATTTTTGTAGTAGGTAGATCATTTTGACTTGATCCTTTTATAAGTAGCTCGCATGCTGAAAAAGTGTGAGCACCCCTGGTCTATGGTATGGGGCCTTCCCGAGATTTCCCACTGTTTTCCCACTGGGTTTTTGGGGGTTACTTGCCGATAAAGAACGGTCAAAGGACAAAGATCTGGGACATTATTTTCACACTATTTTTCATTTCTGGACAGTCCTCATCCCGCTCCCTACAGTATGTACCTTTGCTTCTCTGATCCGTCGTCAGATAATCCACAACTTTGTCAACTACTGTGATTGTGATTCAGAACAAGACACTAACACACAAACTTTGAGTAAACCCTCATCGATTTTTTTATTGAAGTGCAAGCGCTCTACTTTCAAGAAACTTTTCCAAATTCTAAAGGGTACTTTCAAACTATTAAATATGAAACTCCAGTAAAACCTCACATATTACTTCACAGGTTGACGATAGATTTATTTATTTTTACGAATTCAAAGCCTCCAGCCAGATCCAGACCCCTCACACACACACACACACTCACACACACACTCGGGCTACGGCTCCTATCGAATTCCCCTTGACATAATTCGGCCGGGGCTTGTGCGCACGGCTTCGGAGGTGCTCTCTATCTGATTTTCCAACCTACAAGTCTCGCCTTGTATGAAAATGAGATGCATTAGAGCTCCATTAATTGATCCTGTTCGCTTTGAAATGTGGACCTTGCGGTGAACGGAGAATTAGGGCCCGACTCCAGCCCCAATTACGGCGGGAGGTGGTTTGGCGGTCTGGGCTGGGGGGGGGGACAGGTGGAACGGCCGCATGCTAACGGGGAGTGGTGTGGATCCATGCGCAGGTCGTGCCACGCATTAAGCGCCGGAGCTAAAGGCTAAAGTTTACAAATGCATTCATTTGGACGTGACCGGGAGGAGAGTCCAGCCTCGTCTGCGGCTGAAAGTCCGACTGGGGCTGTTTACACACGTTTGTTCCTGGTTCTGTTGGAAGAGAAGAGGACGTTTACACATGTTTGTTCCTGATTCCAGATTCTTAAATTGTTTCTCTATTTAATGTTTGTGTGCGTCATAAAACCGCTGGTGTAAGGCTTCTGACGCTTACCTTCAGTTCAAGTCAGCGGTGATGAGTTCAGAGCACTTTCTTTGGTCTCTCGGGCCTCTCTCTGGTCTCTCTCTGGTCTCTCTCTGGTCTCTCTCTCTGGTCTCTCTCTGGTCCCTCTATCTCCCTCTTTGGTCTTTATCTCTAGTCTCTGGTCTCTCTGGTCTCTCTCTTAGGTGTATATACTGCATCTGGTTTCTCTCTGGTCTCTTTCTAATCTCTCTCTATCTCCCTCTTTGGTCTCTATCTCTAGTTTCTCTCTGGTCTCTCTCTAGTCTCTCTCTAGTCTCTTTCTGGTCTCTCTCTTTGGTGTATTTACTGTATCTGGTCTCTCTCTGGTCACTCTCTGGTATCTCTCTGGTCTCCCTCTGGTCTCTCTTTGCTCTCTCTTTGGTCTCTCTCTGGTCTGTCCAATCACTCTTTCATGAATATATCTGTTCTCTCTCTCTCTAGTCTCCATTTGGTCTCTCTCTGGTCTTGCCCCTGCCCCTGCGGTCTCCTCTGCAGCTGTATTTTGCAGTGTATGCACGGCTTTTGACAGCTCCAGCAGTGCATGATATCTCTGCTATTGCACTTTCAGCAGCCATGAGTTCAGGCGCTTAGAAAACTTTATAAAGTGTGTTTTTTTACAGCCTTTATTCACAGAGCTACTACTTCAAAGAATGTTATTACTATTATTACTATTGTTATTATTCAAACGCAAAACCAGGGGCCAGTGGTAAATGTAAAAACTACATCTTGACTTCAAACTATCTCATAATAACTCACAATAAAGAACAAATGCAGCTCCTTTCCTCTGACCCGCCATCAGCCAATCAGCAGGCACCATGAGGCCAGAGCGGAGCCAGTCTGGAACCAGCGTGTAGCAGAGCCGGGTGCTGGGGCCGGGGCCGGTCATGGAGGGCCCAGTTTAACCCTCGGTGTGTGGGGCTGACCTTTGGAGGCTGCTGCTGCTGAGACCATCTGAGAGAGGCGGGGTCGACATGTGCCGGGGCCAGAGGAGGGCCTTAGATCTGCCCCACTGCTCCCAGGGGCCACGCCTCACACACTTAATGTATACTGGACTGTACCATTGGAACACAAAGCATGATAAAGCTGGGATAGCTCACTTTTTGAATGCATATATGTTTGTTTATCTCGACAGAAATGGTGGTATTCGTAGGAAGGAGCCCTGTGAGTCACTTATTTGATGTTTTGGGATGAGAGCTGATTGGCTGAGTTTGGAAGCTCCTCGCTTTGTCCCTGTTCTGTCAGAAAAAAATAAAAACTTAATTCACGATTGAGGCCAAAAATGCAAGTGAGGGGCCAGAGAAAGACCAAAGAGAGAGCAGAGAAAGACCAGAGGGAAGAAATAGAAGAGAGAGTGAGAAAAAGTGAAAAAAAAAAAAAAGAGACCAGAGAGTCAGAGAGACCTAAGAGAGACCAGCAAGAGAACAAAGAGAGGCCAGAGAGAGACCAGAGAGAGACCAGAGAGAGACCAGAGAGAGACCAGAGAGAGACCAAAAATAAATAGACTGTCATGGTTTAGATTTATTTCCTGTTTTATTTTGTAGTTTGTTATATCCCTGTGTCTGCTTTGGTTGCTCTTCCTGTCTTACCAGCCCTGCCCTCATGTGTATCACCTGTGTCTCGTTAGTCTTGTATTTAGCCCTGTGTGTTCCTTCACTCCCTGTTCCATCATTGTCTTCCCTAGTCTGTTTTAGTTATGTCCTCGTTCTTTGTGGTTTTTGGATTTGTTTCATCTTTTTATTAAATCCATTACTTTTTGCAGTTTTGCATTTTGGTAGTGATGGGTTGATGAAGCTTCATGAAGTGTTGAACCTTTTCATCCATTGGTTCGAGAAAAGGTTCATTTCTTGATGCTTCATATGCTCACAAACCTCCTGTTGGTCAAAATCTGTATTGACAATTGAACTGTTTGTGAGGCTCTTGGTGCATAGGAATTAATACTGGTAACAGAAATAAAAATGTAATTTGATTGTGTATGACCCATTAATTCATCTGTTATTATGATCAATATCAGTAGTGAAAATGAATATATTTTAAATGACAATAAAATATAATGTACTGGTACAGTTGTCTGCTCTAATACACACACACACACACACATACATATATGTAGATATATATTTATATACATATTTAATGATGAATGATTATAGCTTTTCAAGTCAAAATCAATGTTATAAATCCAATGGGACAAAAGACATGTTGAAAGTGTAAGTGCTTTTCAAAGGACGTGACACAAATGGGGATATCATTTGGGATTGTGACCCCATCAGTTGTTTAAAACCAAAACATTTCTGACAAAATTCTTTCACGTGTATTTACATCGATGCACTATTTACATCGATGCACTATTTACATCGATGCACATCGATGCGGTGAGATTCGAACCCCGGTCTCCCAGGTCCCAGCCCTGCTTCCCTATCAATTGAGCCAACCAGCTGATATCACGCCCTCTCCATCACTGACTACATTAATCACCAAGACAAACACACAGTTTGAGCGGATCTTCTGCAGTACTTCATGAATCGCTCCATTTCCTGTGCTCCCGAGGCTTCAAACGTCATTAGTGACGTCACTCATCTAAAACAACTCAGGCTTCGGCCCGCGCTCCGATAAAAACTTCAGGGATTTCTCGGCTCACGCCCCAAAGCGCCGACGCGGCACGACCCATCACTACATTTTGGGTCTCATTTAATTTCACCCACGTGACAGAATGATGGAACCACACAAGGCCCAAGCAGACTGCTTAATTTTTAATTTTTCTGGCCTTTATCCCCAACTGGAGAGTTGCTGCAGGAGTTGGAAGCATCCCTCTCTTGTCTTTGTCCTGGACCACTGCAGGACACTTTGTTCCGTCCTGGGTGGTTGCAGGCTTTCGTCCCTGACCTGGCTCCGCTGGACATCGTTTCTCCATCCAGGGGGCCTTCCGGTTTTCGTACCTGCTTCGCTCTAGTCCCCGCTCCAGCTCCTGCTCCAACCCTGCCGGGTTCCAGCTCGGCGGCTCCACGTCCCGGCCCCGGTTTCACGTGCCGGCCCCGGGTTTCACTTCCCGGCTACACGCCCCGACCCCGGCTCCACGCCCCGACCCCGGCTCCACGCCCCGACCCCGGCTCCACGCCCCGACCCCGGCTCCACGCCCCGACCCCGGCTCCACACCCCGGCCCCGGCTCCACGTCCCAGCTCCTGCCTTTCCTACGGTCCCTCTCCCTCCCTGGTTGTTTTTTGGACGTCTGGGATCCGTCCCTTGAGGAGGGGGTACTGTCATGGTTTAGATTTATTTCCTGTTTTATTTTGTAGTTTGTTATATCCCTGTGTCTGCTTTGGTTGCTCTTCCTGTCTTACCAGCCCTGCCCTCATGTGTATCACCTGTGTCTCGTTAGTCTTGTATTTAGCCCTGTGTGTTCCTTCACTCCCTGTTCCATCATTGTCTTCCCTAGTCTGTTTTAGTTATGTCCTCGTTCTTTGTGGTTTTTGGATTTGTTTCATCTTTTTATTAAATCCATTACTTTTTGCAGTTTTGCATTTTGGGTCTCATTTAATTTCACCCACGTGACATAGACACTGGAGAAAGATCCAAGAGAGACAAGAGAGAGACACCAGAGAGAGACCGGAGAGATGCTAGAGAGAGAGAGACCACAGAGAGACCAGAAAGAGACCAGAAAGAGACCAGAAAGAGACCGGGGAAAGACCAGAGAGAGACCAGAGAGAGACCAAAGAGAGACCTAAGAGAGACAAACATGAGAGAACTAGTGGTAGTTCTGAAAGTGAGGAACTAGTTACAGTCAATGGATTTGACACTGTTCATTAATTTGGGACGTTGAAAGTTAGGTAACCCAGCTTTAAGCGTAAATATAAATGAGCTTTAACCAGGGCCTGCAGGTCACCATCGCTCCGACGATCCCTGTTCTACAATCCATGTAAAATCATCAGCCACTCAGGAATTTTGGCCCATTCTTCTCAAACATCCACGACTTGGATTTGCAGCTTTCCTTTTGAGGTTTTGAGGGTCACTGTTTTAAAAGTCCATGTCACTAGCCGACATGTCAAACTCAGGCCCGTGGGCAAAATCCGGCCCCCAAGACCATTTTCAGTGGCCCCTGAAATTATTAAAATTGTTATATTAAGTTGCAGCATTGATGGTAATAGGCTACAATGGTATGCTTTACCTCATTTTATATCAAAGTATCAGACCTCGAAAGCTATGCAGGGCAGGGCCTGGTTAGTACTGTGATGGGAGACCTCTGAGAACAGCAGGTGCCACAGTGGGGCGGCTGTAAACTATGTCCTTGGGCAAGACACTTCCCCCACTATAGAATGAGTCTCCCGGTTGTCTCGCTTCTGTCAGTGTGCCCCAGGGCAGCTGTGGCTACAGTGGTAGTTTATCACAGTTGTGTTTGGAGTGAAAGAATAATGGTGTGAAGAGACTTTGAGAGTTCTGAAAAGCGCATTTTAAAACTGATGCATAAATATTAATATCATTATTATTATTTATTTACAACATATAATCAAAGATACATTGTTGAATATATTTTAAGAATTGCTTTTGAGTCGTCAATTAAATTGCATGTTAATATTATTTTTGGTTCAGTCCTAAGTAACTAAACTAACTTTGAAAAAAAAAAAATCTGTGCAATCAAACTAATGTGAAAAAAGTAATTTATCAAAAAACCTTCATAATGTAAAAAATATTGAGAATAAAAGATATTATTTTATTACCACATATATACTTTTTAATTACACTATACCCAAACAATTCTTACATTTCAGGTACGGCCTTGAACCAAAATGACTTCGACCCCTGATCTGGAGGGTCTATTAATGAAAGTTTCTGGACAGCAGTTGTCCCATCTCCTTATGGACCAATTAATGTGTTTTGTTATTATTGTATTTTCTGTATTCCAACTGTTTCTCCGATCTGTTGTTGGCGAATCGACAACTGCAGGGCTACACACAAATACATTGAATTGAATGTTGGATTTGTTTTCTTCTCTCTCTATTTCAACCTTGCGTTTCATCATTCAGAACACTCTCCTGGAGAACGCGTGCGGCTGGATCTTGGGTCTTCAGTGAACGGTGCAGTCCGTGCTTCTCTAATATCTGTGTTTATCTGGTGCATTTAGCTCCTCTGTTCGCGCTCCTTTCCCCCGCTGTGTTTAAACCTGAACGCTAACATCTGCAGCCCATTTGGAGCCTGACACCGGGCTAATAACAGAGCCTGCGTGTGCGCGCCCAGATCCTGCCAGCAACGCCAAGTGGCACAGCTGAGAGGTGCCGCGGTCCCGCCTGCCCGCTCCTAACCGCCACGGCAGCGGCTTCCTTCAAACGGCGTGTGTACTGCCTCCAGTTGGGCGTTCAGTGCTGGTAATGGCTGACTTATTACACTTAATCAAATGCCACAGAAGGTCAGCCACCGAAGGGATGTGTAAGTGAACAAAAGAGATCCGACAAAAGGGCCGCCATGTCCCCCGCTCGGTGCCTCACCCACCGCCGCACCATTGTTATTTGTCTATTTCAAATTATTGATCTTTTACAAATATTTTTCAAGGTATCTTAATTACTCGCAAAAGAAGCTGCGTCTTGGCTGGCGGACAACACAAATAAGTTGATTTGCATTTCTGTGTTGTGAGTGTTTTGGCAGGCGCTGCACCGGTCCAGATTGTAACCCCTATTTGTGCCTCCAAAAACCTGCCTTGGAGGAGCGTCCACGGAGGGATTAGGGATTTAGTGGGGAAGGTAAGTGTGACTACAAGCTTTGGCTGGCCATCTGCTCCCCAGCAGAGCGGAGGCCAACCTGTGCAGCCTGCAGCAAAGACCTGGGCACTGTGCAACGCACACTCCTGCCAACCTGGCGCCCGCGGCCCCAATCACCAACAGTCTGCTGATTAGTTGTAAGAAGCACTCCATATGTAGCAAAGTTAGTTCCCTCCTCTCTCTGTCAGTCTGCTCTCCTTCCTCTCCTCCTTATTCTCTCACTCCATTAAATAAAGATGGAGATAGTGTTTTCCAATGGCGCCCGGCTCAGGTTGTCTGGCGAGGAGAGAGGAGGCAGACGTTCACCTCTGATGGAGCTCGAGCAGGAGCTGCTGGCTCCAGTGCTTCCCTTGTGCCTGTTGGCCTGGCACTGGCTGCTCACAGATGACAGGAGTGGGAGGTCTGTTTAGCACCTAAAGGTGCTGCTTACTACTACGACCCCGTCCTCGTTACAGCATAGTGCTTTTCTATTTTTGTTTTTGTTACTATTCTAAATAAAAAATATGTCTAGCAGCAATAGCAATATGTTATATGCTCCTATGTGTGTATATTTGCAGTGTGAGTGTGTGTGTGCGTGTGTGTTTGTGTTTAGTATAGTGAGTTTGTATGAGAGAATGTGAAAAGTAGGGCTAGTCTGTGAGGTTTCCATCTACTTCTGTTGTACTGTGACATCACCTGCTGTAACCTGCTGTTTACTGCACACGGTCAGTGTAAAAACTAAACGACTGGGACAAGTACGATCCCGACAAACACGGTGGATTACAGTCACACAATCATCGACCTCTGCAGCGACAACAGCCCGATGAGAGGTTTATTAGCGGCCTGTTGTAAAAACCCACCAGAGGAAGTGAACAGATTGGAGAAAGGTGGGTCTGAGCACGGAGCCAAGACAGAGCGTTCCAAGACGGAGGATGCACTGGTCCCCTGTGGACACCGGAGAAACAGCGGCGCGGGCCACACCAGAGCGCAGCCGAAACCCAACGCTCATTATGACACTGCGGCCGCGCGCTGCCAGGAACCTATTCCTCACTATTAATTATTCATGTTTTATTTCAGTAATCCAACACTCAGGTGTGAGCGGATGTGTCATTTCAACGCTAACTCACTAATGGCAGAATCCGTCTTGCTTTGTGTTGTTTGTGTTTTTTTATTGCCCTGCATCGCTCCGAGGGGAAACTCACCCGTGACCTTTGTGAGTGACTTAAAAGGGGCGGGGCTTAAGAGCGCTGACAGCTCCTGCGGCCAATCACAGCCTCCATCTGTGCATTCAGTAGCTGCAGTTTTAAATGTGTGATTGTTACGGATCCATCACTTATATTTGATTCGATTACGGCGTCGTTTCCTCGTGGATCTGCGTCCGTCGCGTTCTGCTCAGCGCTCGCTCAAGTCCAGGCTTTATGGACCGCCATGTTTGTGTCTCAAACACGCCGCCGCCGGCACACGTTATGTTTGATGCTCTCACTTAACAGTTGTCACCGTCATCGCTCCCTCCGCCTGACACCGAACACCAACACTCACAGCAACACCAGCAGACACTACATTTACAAGATAGATATACATAGATAGATACACACACATGTACACAACACCAACACACACACATGTATCACAACACCAACATACACACATGTAACACAACACCAACACACACACATGTACCACAACACCAACACACACACACACCACATGAACCACAACACCACACACACACACACGTACCACAACACCAACACCCACACACACACACACATGAACCACAACACCAACACACACACACGTACCACAACACACACACACACACACACACACCAACAACACTAGCACACACACACAGTCTCAGGGAGAGTGAGTTGTGGCAGAGCAGACGCTGACTTGAAACAGCTCTGCAACATGTGTTAACAGATTTATGTAAAAGGTTAACGTGCTTGTATAATGTGGCCCAGGCCCCTGCCCTCAGCCCCCTCCCTCTGCCCCTCTCTCAGACACGGGAACATTTCCCTGCCTCCATTATGCTCATTTGTCCTGTCAGGAGAATGACGGCCGTTTGACTTCCCCAGATACGACCATTAGGTAACGCTCTGTCATCTGACAGCAGACATTCTGCCGCTCCCTAAAACCCCCTAATTATTTCCTCGCGGCGACGGGCCGAGGCGGTAGGTGATTTTTAACCTTTCACGTGCACCTGGGGAACCCTCCTCCGGGGAGCCAAGGTGCCTGTGTGGCATTCAGTCTTCAAAACATGACCTTTTATGGCCGTTCGGAGAGCAGTTGGCACCGGGTGCCACGCGCTGGCTAATGCTAATGTTGATGACTAATTTATGCATCAGCCAACCGCATCTGCAGCAAGTTTAGGCGAGTAACAATGTGTGATGGAGGCGAGCAGGGAGGGGCCCGGCCGAGGAGAGGTGAGAAGGATTTGGGGCAGCGGGTGGGGCCTGTGCGACAGGGAATTCAGGGCTAATTATGTTGCAGGGAGCACATTCGGTGTGACCACCGAGCCTTTTTAGAATTTGTCCAGTGCAATCTGACTAACGTGTGACCTTTACTTTCTTAGCCCAAATTGCGGGTGACCAAAGAGCATGCAAGATGTGTGCATATTCTCTGACCTAAATGGCTTTTTCTGGTCTAAACACGCAGCACCTCAGAACGCCTCTGTGTGTGCGTGTGCGTGTGTGTGTGTGTGTGTGTAGAATGTGGTACTTTAAACACTTGACATGTCTTCAGAACAGTGCACTGGAGCCCCTCCTCCTGTTGGTGTGTTTGCCGTGTGTCAGAGTCCTTCCTGTGGCACCTCCAGTTAACACAGGGTTATTAACATAACAAATGGAAAGGCCGATATAAATAATACCTTCACAGCCGTGTGCAGACGGACTCCGCTGACAGTGTTTAGGCAGAGCCTCCAACATCTGTTTATGAGCACTTTGCCTAATGATATCATCCGATATCATTAACTGTGGCAGTGCGTGGCTCCGTAGCAGGTGCAGCTGGGCCCCTCCCCCTGTACACACACGCGCACACACACGCATACGCACACAGACGCACACACACACACACGTGTGAGCAGAGACACCTTCTTCCACCACAAACCTCTCATTAGGCTCTGCACAGACGCAGCCCTATGATTTCAATCTGTATATCACCTGTAATTGTAGTTTTTAGTTGGGGCTGATTCCATACATTTGTTGCTCTGTGTTCGCAGCTGCGTCTGTTTTTAGCTTCTGAACCTCGCTGCTGCTCTGGAGGAGGAGCCTTTGTTTTCTCAGTTTGTTATGTTTAGATTCTCAGAATTACAGAAAATTGTTTAAATGATTATTTCTGTGTCAGAAGAGTGGGACCTCTCCTTCCCCTTGACCTGAGGCCCCTGAGGTCCCTTGGAATCTCTGTCACTATAATTACATCTGAACACATTTGTCACGTGCTTTGATTTCATGAAACACTGACAGTGTCTTTATGACCTCACAGGAGCAGGGACCTCACAGGAGCAGGGGCTTCAGAGGAGCGGGGGCCTCAGAGGAGCAGGGGCCTCAGAGGAGCAGAGACCTTAGAGGAGCATGGGCCTCAGACCTGGTGTAGGACACAGCCGCTGACGTCAGCATCTTGTCTTGGATCGATGACATCATTTCTCAGTCCTCAGACTTCCTCCTGCGGCAGAATGACTGCTGCAGATCCATCCAGAGCGACTGCTGCAGATCCATGTGGAGCGACTGCTGCAGATCCATGCGGAGCGACTGCTGCAGATCCATGTAGAGCGACTGCTGCAGATCCATGTGGAGCGACTGCTGCAGATCCATGTGGAGCGACTGCTGCAGATCCATGTGGAGCGACTGCTGCAGATCCATGTGGAGCGACTGCTGCAGATCCATGTGGAGCGACTGCTGCAGATCCATGCAGAGCGACTGCTGCAGATTCATGTGGAGCGACTGCTGCAGATCCATGCGGAACCTGCAGCTGCAGATCCATGCGGAGCGACTGCTGCAGATCCATCCAGAGCGACTACTGCAGATTCATGTAGAGCGACTGCTGCAGATCCATCCAGAGCGACTGCTGAAGATCCATGTAGAGCGACTGCTGTAGATTCATGTGGAGCGACTGCTGCAGATCCATCCAGAGCGACTGCTGAAGATCCATGTAGAGCGACTGCTGTAGATTCATGTGGAGCGACTGCTGCAGATCCATCCAGAGCGACTGCTGAAGATCCATGTAGAGCGACTGCTGTAGATTCATGTGGAGCGACTGCTGCAGATCCATCCAGAGCGACTGCTGCAGATCCCATGTAGAGCAACTGCTGCAGATCCATGCGGAGCGACTGCTGCAGATCCATGCGGAGCGACTGCTGCAGATCCATGCAGAGTGACTGCTGCAGATTCATGCAGAGCGACTGCTACAGATTCATGCAGAGCGACTGCTGCAGATCCATGTAGAGCGACTGCTGCAGATCCATGTAGAGCGACTGCTGCAGATTCATGTGGAGCGACTGCTGCAGATCCATGCGGAACCTGCAGCTGCAGATCCATGCGGAGCGACTGCTGCAGATCCATGTGGAGCGACTGCTGCAGATCCATGTGGAGCGACTGCTGCAGATCCATGCGGAGCGACTGCTGCAGATCCATGCGGAGCGACTGCTGCAGATCCATGTGGAGCGACTGCTGCAGATCCATGTGGAGCGACTGCTGCAGATCCATGCGGAGCGACTGCTGCAGATCCATGCGGAGCGACTGCTGCAGATCCATGCGGAGCGACTGCTGCAGATCCATGCGGAGCCTGCAGCTGCAGCATCGGCCTCTCGTGACTCCAGCTCCATTCGTTGCCTAAAGAAATACACGAAGCATTTTCATTTCTATTTTACAGATGATTGTAATAAAACATTTGATTCATATTCTGTCTTCCATGGAACTGTTAGGGCTTCAGCAGAAATGTCCAAGAGTACAATATTAAAAATATGATCAGTGGAAAGGCAATCCCTTCACTTTCACATTTTCAAAACTATTTTACTTGTATAGCACAGTCCAAATTCAAGGCAACTCAAAGTCCTGAACAAAACAATCTGATCACCAATAATCACAGTGCATTAAAAAGTGTGAAGAAGCAGAAATGTTCAAAAAATCAATCATTGTCAGAGAAGAAGCCTGACTTCTTTCATATTCATTGAGGGAGATTTCAGTTTGACAGACGTCGTTATCGATCCCGTGTGTCAGACTTCATATTTCTTCTTCCCGGTCGTCTCTCTCCACCTGACACGGGTCGCTACAGGAAAAACACCATAAGTGGAACGTCAAATGCTTTGTTGTCGGTGCTTTCACGAGTAAATTACACATTTAGGATTTATTAAGACAAGAAACACTTCTCAACACTCCTCGCTGGAGACGGGCTCATTACTCCGTAGCCCCGGGGCCTTGAATGTGCCCTCCCTCCCTCTCTGTGTTTCCATTCTGTATTTTAACGTCTTGATGCTGTGATGTCACACTAGTTTGTTGGATGATTTGGTTTTCTAGCAGGTGCCGCCTCCGAGTCTGTTCAATTATTAACCGCGAGGGCCACATGGATGTATCACCGCCGCCATCACACGCACAGAGCGGTGGGCGGCACGGTGGCAGAGTGGATAGCACTCTCGCCTCTCAGCAAGAAGGTCCTGGGTTCAAATCCCGGTCGGACCAGGGCCTTTCTGAGTGGAGTTTGCATGTTCTCCCCGTGTCTGCGTAGGTTTCCTCCGGGTACTCCGGTTTCCCCTACCACTAAAAATATGTCCAATAGTTCTGGCATGCGCCTCCTGTACTGGCGACCCCGCTCCCATCTCTGTGTGGAGTGAGAGACAAATGCCCAAAATTAACAATTGTAAACCGCTTTGAGACTCAGATCTGCAGTGAAAAGGCGGTATATAAATAAAAACTTACTACTTACTTACTTACAGAAAATCCCCCCGCGCACTTTCTCTTCTCTCTGGTCTCTCTCTGTCTTTTTTCTCTCTCTGGTCTCTATCTTGTCTCTTTCTGGTCTCTCTCTCTCGCTTGTTCTCTCTTAACTCTCCCTCGCTGTGGTTTCTTTCTGAGCTCTCAGTTCTCACTTTCTAGACTCTCTCACTGGTCTCCATTCTCTAGCCTCTCTGGTCTCTTTTGTTTCTGTTTGCTCTCTTTCTCTCATCTCTCTCCAGACTTTCTCTCAGTCTCTCTCTCGTCTCCCTCCAGTCTCTCTCTCTCAACTCTTTCCAGACTCTCTCTCATCTCTCTCCAGACTCTCTCTCTCATCTCTCTCCAGTCTCTCTCTCTCATCTCTCTCCAGTCTCTCTCTCTCATCTCTCTCTCTCTGGTCTCACTCTCATCTCTCTCCAGTCTCTCTCTCATCTCTCTCCAGTCTCTCTCTCCAGACTCTCTGTCTCATCTCTCTCCAGACACTCTCTCATCTCTCTCCGGTCTCGCTCTCATCTCTCTCCAGTCTCCCTCTCCAGACTCTCTGTCTCATCTCTCTCCAGTCTCTCTCTCATCTCTCTCCGGTCTCGCTCTCATCTCTCTCCAGTCTCTCTCTCCAGACTCTCTGTCTCATCTCTCTCCAGACTCTCTCTCATCTCTCTCCAGACTCTCTCTCATCTCTCTCCAGTCTCTCTCTCATCTCTCTCCAGTCTCTCTCTCATCTCTCTCCAGTCTCTCTCTCTCATCTCTCTCCAGTCTCTCTCTCCAGACTCTCTCGCTCAGTCTCTCTCTCTCATCTCTCTCTTGTCTCTCTTTACGGTCTCCCCATAGCCGAGGGCCACATAGAAGTATCACTGCCACCATCACATACCCATAAACCTCCACACACACACACACACACACGCACACACACACAACACGCACGCACACACACACACACTCCGAGCCAAAACAAGACACAAAACTGCTTTAGTTTCTCTCTATTGTTTTATTCATCAGGCCGTCCTCTCCCACACCCTCTCTTACATTAGCCGTGTTGTGTTAACGAGTGCAGGGGTGAAGCTTTTTGATTCTCTGTCAAAACCCGAGGTCGTGCCGCGCGTTTAATCCGTGGAGCCGAGCGAGCATAAGACAAAAAAACGGCGCCGTGGTGTTGATAAATAAATCATGCAGAGGACACAAAGACACGGTCTCGGACACAAAAGGCCTCTCTCGTCTCGCCGCTCTCTGATGGCGCGGTAATGACCAATCAAAAGTCCGAGGCAATTGTTGGAAGTGGACGTCAGGCTGGTTCCAATGTGTCACAGTCAGGCTCCGTGTGTGTGATCTTCATTCAGCGTCACTCTCTGTACTGGGTTTTTGTTGTTTCGTTTCAGAGGAAAGTCACAAAAACAAGCAGGAGACGGAGCGACACTTGTATGATTAAAATTTTACAGAGTTTGAAAGTTGAAAAACGATGGGAAACCAACTTTATCAACTGTTTTTTCAACCGACACCAGTGAATGACGGCCGTGAGTCCTTCTCACGGGATTTGATGCTGGTTTGTTGGAATAAATTACTTTTGTACATTGTATTATATACTATACAGTACTAGGCCATTTTAAATATATGTTTAAGGTCTCTCTCTAGTCTATCTCTCTGGTCTCTCTCCTAGGTCTCTCTAGTCTCTCCCTCTGGTCTCTCTAGTTTCTCTCTGGTCTCTCTCCGGTCTCTATCTCTGGTCTCTCTCTGGTCTCTCTCTCTGGTCTCTCTCTAGTCTTTCTCTGTTCTCTCTCTGATCTATGTCTCTGGTCTCTCTGTAGACTCTCTCTGGTCTCTCTCTGGTCTTTCTCTAGTCTCTCTGGTTTCTCTCTAGTTTCTCTCTGGTGTCTCTCTAGTTTCTCTCTGGTCTCTTTCTCTAGTCTCTCTCTGGTCTCCCTCTAGTCTTTCTTTGTTCTCTCTCTTATCTGTCCTTCTGGTCTTCCTCTCTGGTCTTTCTCTGGTCTCTTTCTCTGGTCTCTCTCTCTGGTCTCTCACTGTTCTCTCTCTGGTCTCTCTCGCCTTCAGTCCTACTCCTTTCCCCTTCTATCCTCTGCAGCTGTTTTTTTTACAGTGTATGCACGGCTTTTGACAGCTGCAGCAGCCCTTAGACCTGCAACCAACAGCTTTATCTCTGGTCTCTCTCCCGTGGTTAGAAAAGTGTATAAAATGCGTGGTGTAGTTTCAACGGAGGAGATAAGCGTGACGATGTCTGCCGATATTTACATTCTGAGGTTAGCACAAGTGTAGCTAGGTGCACGCGGGGTAATCCTGAGTTCCGTTGATTTTTTTTACTTTTGAAGCACAGTTTTGATTGCATATTTTTTATATATATTTTATCACATCTGATCTTGGTTATTTTGGACAGTAAATATGATTTTCTGGATTTTTTTCTTTCCATATCTGCGTCATGCTAAGACCCTCTTCCCCACATAGTCTTAGAGTGCTAGCTGTACAGAAATGATGCTATCTTTTGCATTTCTAAGCTTTCACGCTAACCCATCCTTAAAATTCAGTTATAATTCACTTCTTACCGATCGGAACAGGTCAAAAAAAAAAAAGAAATAGACAAATAAGGTCTGCACATGCTAACCTCACCGCTTCCTTCACGCCAGCCCGACTCTTTGCCATAACATCTCCACGTGTGCTAATTAGCCACGCAAGCAGGCTAGCCCCGCTCCCGACAGGTGCGGCTAGTCTACCGGGTCAGCCACGCTTCCAGCAAAAGAGAGGGAAGGGATGGGATATAAAGCGAAGGAGGGATGGGGGGACCTAGGCATCCTGTGCACTGCATTAAAAATACATGGATGGAGGAGAATAACGGGGGGAAACTAGACGTGTTAATTTCGAGCTTCCATCTGCTGTTACATAAGCACTGCCAACATCGGTGGGAGAATGGCGTAGCCACAAAGACAGGAGGCGCAGGAGACGGAGCAGAGAAGGCTGTGGAAATGTAGTTTTAACCAAAGTCCTCCTGGGACGCCAAGCACGGCATCCGGAAACAAACTTTGTGCGTTGGACCGAAATCTTCCAAAATACTGATTCTTTTGTGTAAGGTGTCTTGGTGGCGGTTTGAAATTATCCAATGTCTGGGGGTTCTCTGGGGAGTACTGCGTGCGGCGTTATCGGTTTGACAAGTTTGCGAAATTATGGCCAACTTTGCTTGAGATGCAATTTATGCGCATTTCTTCAAGATGTTGTCTTGATGAACGATATTCGCTGGCATCGGTGACGCGCGCTGGTAAAGATTTGGACGGATAGATGCAAGAGATTTGGCAAAAGTCAAGAAATAATAACGTCTTTTGTATATTTACTGTGAAAAAGTCAGTCTCTTTGTCTCTTAGACATGCACACAGAGGGTCTCTCTCTCTCTGGTCTCTCTGGTTGCTCTTCCTGGTCCCTCTCTGGTCTCTCTTTCTGGTCCCTCTCCTCTGGTCTCTCTCTTTGGTCTCTTTCTGCTCTCACTCTCTCTCTCTGGTCTCTCTCGCTCTCCCTGGTCCCTTTTTGGTCTCTAGCTGGTCACTCCCTGGTCCCTCTCTAGTCTCTCTGGTCTTTCTCTTCTCTCTCTCTGGTCTCTCTCTGGTCTCTCTCTGGTCCCTCTCTGGTCTTTCTTTGGTCTCTCTGAGGTCACCCTCTGGTCCTCTGGCTGCTCTTTCTGGTCTCTCTCTGGTCTCTCTCTAGTCTCTCTGGTCCCTCTCTGGTCTCTCTCTCTAGTTGCTCTCTCTGGTCTCTCTCCCTCTGGTCTCTCTCTGGTCTTGTTATGTCCATCATCTTGACAGTTTAATCTCTGGCTTTATTCCAATCTTTTAGTTTCCGCTAAAACGACGTCAAGGAAGAGAGAGAACGGTCTGTGATGGTCTCTCTCTGGTTTTTGTCTTCCACCTTTTCACATTTAACCTCTCATTCCGACACACAAACCAGCAAACCCCACAATTACATTCCCAACGTTTTGACAACAACAAATAACTCGATGATTTTGTGGTCATCGGACTCAGGACGTGGGAACGAGGAGCGGAGATTTTTCCCAATGCTGAAATGGAGAACACACTTTGAAGCTTTGGGAGAAAGTTCAGCAGTGGAACAATAATAAAAGTCGTCTTCGGTGTTGCTCTGGGTAATGTTGAGGAAACAGGTGCGGCAGGTTCTTTTCACCACATGGTTTCCTTGTAAGCGATAGGGCGCATTCCGAGCCGATACCGTGGCGTCCGCTCGGCTCTGCTCTCCGTCAGCTCCTGTAAAAATACACCGGAATGAGACGTACATCTGCAAACAATAGCGGTGTCATTTCCAGCACTGATACCACCACCGGCCCTTGGTCTCCGGCGAGGTGGGTGTGGGGGGTCGGGTTGGGTAGAGGACCAGGAAGAGTCCGCGGAAAAACTGGCGCGTGTTTTTTTCGGAGTTTTCCAACAGACTTCACCAGCTCAGACAGATCACAGCAGCCCGCCTGGAGACCGGAGAGAAGCAAAGCCCTGCAGCCTCTCCGTGTCTAACTAGCGGCGTGGGAACACACATTATAATTGTTTGTTCAATTATTTTTCTTGGACGTCGCACCTGCGCATCTCCGAGTGAACTCATGAGACCGAAAGCGCAATTAAAGCCCGCGGCGCGCACACACACGGTTTAAACGCCGCGGAGGGAGGCGAATAAATACCTTTTTTAGCGCTGAAGGTAACAAGCCAAGGGTGACAGTGAGAAGGCACACAGGGAGCAATTTTCTATTTATTTGTCTCCGGGTTTGACCTCACTTTTGACAGGGTTCCAGGGCTCATTACTGTCTGTGTCCGGCTTCTAATCGAGGCCCATTACAAGTGCTGAGGCGGCGGTGGGCGGCAAACACCGTGCCCTTTGAAAGCCTCCGTGAGCCGCACATACAGTAGGAGCAGAGCGAGCCCAGACGGTTCAGGGCCCATCAGGACTCCTCTCGGCACAGGCAGAGTGGAACATCTGTGTGCATATTCCACATTTAACAAGCGGATTTAAATGCACTTGAGCAGAAACGGACAAAACTAATAAACAGCGGTGATTTGATCCGGAACAAATACAGAGCGTACAGTGACTCTGGATGATCTTGTAAATGTGCAACTGTGTAAAAAGCCAGTGATAACGACGAGTCTTGACAATTACGGCCCTTTGTGTGTAATGTAAGGGAGGGGTCTGCAGCGCGAGAAAGCAGTTTGATTTATTTGAGTATCGCCCAAAATCGCAACAGCGGTCGTCTCGGAGGATTTTACAAAGTTGTGGTTTGGCCAATAACTGATCATAGACCAGAGGGAGGCCGAAGAGACTAGAGAGAGACCAAGAAGAGACCAGGGAGAGACTAGAAGGAGACTACAGAGAGACCAAAGAGAGTCTGTAGAGAGACGAAAGAGAGACCAGAGAGAGACTAGAGAGAGAGACCAAAGACAAATTAGAGAGAGACCAGCAAGAGACCAAGAAGAGATTATGGAGAAACTAGAGAAACCAGAGGGAGACCAGAGAGAGACCAAGAAGAGACCAGAGGGTGACCAAAGAGAGACCAGAGAGACCAAATAGAAAAAATAACGCATAACTAAATGTTGAAATGAGTACACTGCGTCCTTGGCGAGTGGTTTGAGACTGGACCGCTCTGGACTAGACCCAGTGGGGGCAGGTCCCGGCTCAAAAGTGGCCAAAATAATGTGCGCTGACATGCTTGTAATACCACGATGGGGGTGGACTCGGAATAAGAATTAGCCAATGCTAACATATAGCATTGGCAGACCTCTCAAAAACGTCTTTACAGGATGGACCAAAAGTTGGCTCTTGGCCCAAAGCTCTGTTCCACATGTGTGTCAATGCTGAGGGGGGTGAATTTTTTTGGACCACTCTAGTTTACTTGCTGTGAATTTTTGAAGTCTCTCGTGCAAATGAATGGAGCTGCGCTGGTTAACGCATGCACAGATGCGTTTTTTCACAATTTTCTTGTGGGCGGGACCACTCGCGGCCATTTTGGATTGCTCCAGTAGAGCACTATGTTTGGCCCAGAACGGCGGAGATAGGCGTGACTACGTCCGTTAAGTTTTACAGTCTATAACTAGGCCGTGTTTTCAGAGGGATGTGTACCATTGGGGAAAGTCACTTGGTATCAGTAGCCGTTGTTCTCAAACATTGGAAGACACCGAATGTCCTACTAATAAAGGAATAGGGCGAATAATATTACAACAGTGGCCTCCTATGGACGTGTGTTGAGCAGGGTAATAAAACAGGGTCAGAGCCACATCAGTCTGGGTTAATGCTGGTCAACAGGATGAGACACGATCACATCTGCTTTATTCTATTCAACCATTATCAGTGTGTTGTTCTGTTGCCTTGTGTCATGGTCCTCAGCCGTGTCGGAATATATGCATCTATATAGTCGCCCCAAAACCAAAAGGTGGAGTTTCCTTTATGCTGTAGCATCTGGTACCGTATTCTAGCTACCTCCCCATAACAAACCAGTGTGCAGAGAAGGTCTCCATGGTTACCAAGGACACTTTGGCACCAGCTCGGCCTGGATAGAACCAGGGAAGAGGGACTGAAGAAGGACCTGGTACTGGTTTTACAGGGCCGGTGGAAATGCTCCCAATTGGAGTGGGTAGAGCAGGGTTTGGGTAGAGTAGAGTAGGGTAGGGCAGGGCAGGGCAGGGTAGGGTAGGGTAAGGTAGGGTAGAGTAGAGTAGAGTAGAGTAGAGTAGAGTAGGGCAGGGCAGGGCAGGGCAGGGTAGGGTAGAGTAGAGTAGAGTAGAGTAGAGTAGAGTAGAGTAGAGTAGAGTAGAGTAGAGTAGAGTAGAGTAGAGTAGAGTAGAGTAGAGTAGAGTAGAGTAGAGTAGGCAGGGCTAGAATAGAGTAGAGTAGAGTAGAGTAGAGTAGAGTAGAGTAGAGTAGAGTAGAGTAGAGTAGAGTAGGGTAGGGTAGAGTAGGGTAGGGTAGAGTAGGGTAGAGTAGAGTAGAGTAGAGTAGAGTAGAGTAGAGCTGGTGGAAAGGAGGCACATGGTCTGTGAAAGTAGCTATACAACAAAGGAGCTATACAATTGCCTAAAACAGCCTTAACACTTAACAAAAAAAGTTTCACGACGCAATCAGTTTGAACCAGTGACATCACAGGAGCCGACGACAACTTGTTCCACCCAACTTTCTCTGTCACATTGAAATCACCCTAAACTTGAGGAATGACTATATTTGACTCTAAAACCAGCTGTTAGCCTCTGTGCTGTTAGCGTTAGCATGGTCTTATCTCGTTAGAGCTACACAGGCGCCACTCGCCGTTTGACAAGGCCCGGTCTCCGCCCGCGACATGCATTATTCAGCCTCGGCATTAGCATCACAGCTAAAAGTGACTGTCAAAAAAAAAAAAACTTTTCCCACCACTCCCAGGTCGAGAAGACGAACCTAAACGAGACGGATTACGGTCGCTACAGAGAGAAGGAGCCCGGGCTGGATTAGGGCAGGGGCCGTGGACACATGGGCACTGGAGCAGGAGGGGAGGGGGGAGAGGGGGAGAGGGGGGAGGAAGGAAAGTAGCGGAGCATGGGCCAATCGCTTAAACAAACATGCGATCCAGCCCCGGAACGAGTCTGCGTGACGAGTCCGGGTGCTGCTCCGCGAAGAGAGACAAGAATGTGACAGAAGCCGGTTTATTTAAAGTTTAGGAGCGGATTCTTTTTTTTTTATTCATCCATTCATTCATTTTCTACCCCTTTATTAGTCCAGTTCTGGTCCCTGAGTTTGGTTCAACTCAAGGTTTTGCCAGACAGTGATGAAGTTTTCACATCAATGACAATATTTCCTCCTAATAGCTTTAAACTAATAAATTATGCTCTCTGGTCTCTCTCTCTGGTCTCTCTCTCTGGTCTCTCTCTGGTCTCTCTCTGGTCTCTCTCTCCGGTCTCTCTCTGGGCTCTCTCTGGTCTCTCTCTAGTCTCTCTCTGGTCTCTCTCTCTGGTCTCTCTCTGGTCTCTCTCTGGTCTCTCTCTCTGGTCTCTCTGGCTCTCTCTGGTCTCTCTCTGGTCTCTCTCTCTGGTCTCTCTCTCTGGTCTCTCTCTGGTCTCTCTCTGGTCTCTCTCTGGTCTCTCTCTCTGGTCTCTCTCTCTGGTCTCTCTCTGGTCTCTCTCTGGTCTCTCTCTCTGGTCTCTCTCTGGGCTCTCTCTGGTCTCTCTCTGGTCGCTCTGTGGTCTCTCTCTGGTCTCTCTCTGGTCTCTCTCTGGTCTCTCTCTGGTCTCTCTCTGGTCTCTCTCTAGTCTCTCTTTGGTCTCTCTCTGGTCTTGCTCTGGTCTCGCTCTTGTCTCTGGTCTCTATCTATCGCTAATCTCTTTCTGACCTCCTGTCTCTGGTCTCTCTCTGGTCTCTCTCTTGTCTCTGGTCTCTCTCTGGTCTCTGGTCTCTCTCTAGTCTCGCTCTTGTCTTGCTCTGGTCTCTCGCTGGTCTCTCGCTGGTCTCTCACTAACCTCTTGTATCTGGTCTCTCTCTTGTCTCAGTCTTGTCTCGCTCTGGTCTCTCCCTGGTCTCGCTCTGGTCTCTCCCTGGTCTCGCTCTGGTCTCCCACATAGATGTATCATTGTCACATCTTTAGATCAGCTTCAACTCGATGGTATTAGTATACAAATCAGGTGTTTGCTTTTGAAATAACACATTTATTTGCGTTTTTTCCCACTTTTACGGTCCAAGAAAAGGCTTGTTGTGAATATATACATATAAACTCCTCCAAATGCTACCTCTGGCCACAAATATTCTTTTACTGAGTCGTAATAATGTCGTTCCCAGGTCTTAAACACTGCCTTTTCTCAGTCTTCCTGCAGACATCTTTCCGTGTGTGGTTGTTTGTGCCCAGGTGAGCCGTATCCCTCCTGCTGGTACCGGGAGCCGAGCTGTTTACCGATGCCTGTATACCTGAAGGCGGCTATTCTGGCACGGCCGGGGGAGCTCTTTACACAGATTTATTTAGCCGGAGGAGGGGGCTGAACAGGTGGCGGAACAGGGAGGAACACGCAAGACAAACAAGCAGACACCTGTTCGGAGCGCACGCCGCTTCCTCCGCAAAAACCCAGTCCACATTCCAACAGCAGCAGCAGCCAACTCCTCACGCCAAGCACCACGAGTCCACGCCACCACGGGACTGGTTCTAAGGGTTATGGGCTGGTAGATCTGGTTTCTCTTCTTATCCATGAGTCTCAGAATGACGAAACCTGAAAGGGAGTCGTGATATTGTTGCATTGCTAGTATAGGGCCTGCAGGGTGTATGTTTTATACAGGGTCCTTTCAATTCAATGCATTTGTGTGTCAGCTGAAATCACAGCAGCAGACGTCCCCGGGGCCTTTAAGAAGGTCTGGGTTAGCAAATAGCAGAGAGTCAAAGGAAATGCAATGTCCAGAAAGGTGAATAAATGTGCAAAAAATGTGTAGAAATGTCCCGGATCATCGCTGCTCTTAGACCCTCCTCCATCTGCAAAGAACCAGTCAAAACCCTGTGGGAAAAAAGCGAGAAATCTTAGGGAGGCCCACATTGAGAGAGGCATCCACTCCGAGGACAGAGGCTGTAGACCCAGGACTGAGGCTGTAGATCCAGGACTGAGGCTGTAGATCCAGGACTGAGGCTGTAGATCCAGGACTGAGGCTGTAGACCCAGGACTGAGGCTGTAGATCCAGGACTGAGGCTGTAGACTCAGGACAGGCTGTAGACCCAGGACTGAGGCTGTAGATCCAGGACTGAGGCTGTAGACTCAGGACAGGCTGTAGACCCAGGACTGAGGCTGTAGACCCAGGACTGAGGCTGTAGACTCAGGACAGGCTGTAGACCCAGGACTGAGGCTGTAGACTCAGGACAGGCTGTAGACCCAGGACTGAGGCTGTAGACTCAGGACTGAGGCTGTAGACCCAGGACTGAGGCTGTAGACTCAGGACTGAGGCTGTAGACTCAGGACTGAGGCTGTAGACCCAGGACTGAGGCTGTAGACTCAGGACTGAGGCTGTAGACTCAGGACTGAGGCTGTAGACTCAGGACTGAGGCTGTAGACCCAGGACTAGTGATGTAAAAAACTATGAATTTTCCTGACCGACCACTGAGGAGCGCGACAGACCGGTATGTGTGTGTGTAAAATACATGTATGTGTGTGTGTGTGTGTGTGTATGTATGTGTGTGTAAATGTAAGCTCCAATGTAGTTCTGACTCGCGCCAGTGTGCAACTTTGGCGGACAGAGGGGAGAGATGATGCGTGTGGATGTTACGTATGGAGAGGGGGAAAGTGTGTGTGTGTGTTTGTGTGTGCGTGCGTGCATATGTGGCGCGTGCGGCATGAGAGTCGTCCCGGAGTTTACTGATGCATGGGTGCACACAGCTAGATACAGACCCGCTCGTCACACCGTGCAAATAGGGCTTAAAATAGTGTTATTAAGAGACGTCCCCTCTCCCACTTTTCTTTTTTTTAACCGACAGCTTTGACTGGTCAACGCTGTGACGGTCAACCACCGGTTAAACGATCACCGATTTACCTGGACTGAGGCTGTAGATCCAGGACTTAAAAAGGCTCCCATGCAGGGAGGCGGGTGGTACCCATGAGTCCGGACCCAGGGAGACCAGTCCGCAGGTGCAGATGGTCCCTCCCCTCCCCTACAGGTGAATCAAATCCTCACTTTATCACATACAGAATTCATACAACCATCAAACCTCCTTTCTCCTTGCTCCTCCCGGTGAACCACAGCACCCGTGTCACTCGTGGGTGGGCTGTCGGAGGTCTCGGGGCCCCGCGGCTGGGGGCCCATCAGCTCGGTGACAGAGCCCGGGTCTGAAGTTCGGTAACCGCTGCTGACGGAGGCTGCCGTGGGCTAATCGCGGCGACAGGTGACATGTCTCGGGAGCTCGGAGTGAAGAGTTAGAGCCCTCTGTCACATGACCCCATCACAGCCTGACGTCAGGGAGAGAGCACTTCATGGTTGCCCCCGGCGACGTGTCCACAGATTATAGGATGGTGAAGACCGAATGTCGCAGCTGATGAAGATTCAAGAGATTCGAAGTTTTGTTTGTGGTAAAATATGAGATAATAAATGGTTAAAAAAGTGTTTTTTCTGTTCCGCAGAGGGACCAGAGAGAGACCAGAGAGAGACCAGAGAGAAACCAGAGAGAGACCAGAGAGAGACCAGAGAGAGACCAGAGAGAGACCAGAGAGAGACCAGAAAGAAACCAGAGAGAGACCAGAGAGAGACCAGAGAGAGACCAGAGAGAGAAGAGAGAGAGACCAGAGAGAGACCAGAGAGAGAACAGAGAGAGACCAGAGAGAGACCAGAAAGAGAACAGAAAGAGACCAGAGAGAGACCAGAAAGAGAACAGAGAGAGACCAGAGAGAGATACCAGAGAGAGACCAGAAAGAGAACAGAGAGATTCCAGAGAGAGAGACCAGAGAGAGACCAGAGAGAGACCAGAAAGAGAACAGAGAGATACCAGAGAGAGAGACCAGAGAGAGACCAGAGAGAGACCAGAGAGAGAACAGAGAGAGACCAGAGAGAGAACAGAGAGAGACCAGAGAGAGAACAGAAAGAGAACAGAGAGACCAGAAAGAGAACAGAGAGAGACCAGAGAGAGACCAGAGAACCACACAGATGAAAGACAGGAAATGCAATAATAACAAACAGGACCACCACTGTCCAGAAATGTTAATAAATGTGTTTTACCTTCACTGCCTTAGCCCGTCCTTCTCCTCCGGACAAACCAGAGACTTCTGCAATTCTAAATATTTTCTCTCAACATCGTAGGCTACAGTGTGAGTGAGGAGTTGCCTTCTGCCGACTCTAAACTTCATTTTTTAAGGGTTTGGAACAGCTTTTTGCAAATAATTCTCTACAATCAGCGTGGCTTGCTGTAGGCGTTTTTGTATGTTATTTATTTGTCCCTTTTGCCTTGTTGTTCTTCCTATGCACCAACAATATAAATCAAATAGTTTTATTAAAGCATATTCAACAGAAACCTCTTCAGAAAGTCCCCCAGAAGTTTCTCCTGTCTATAGTCTATAGTTTTCACAAATACATCTGCTTTTATTTGACTTTTCGCGGACTGGGAAAGAACACAGGGATAATCTGAAGTGGATTGGACGCCATCAGTGACCCAATTAGCCACCAAACCTCCAGTAAAGTTTGGAAAGTGCCTTCTTTTATCGGGGTCGTTAGGCTGTTCAAATGCTCCTCCGCTGGTCTCTCCCCCCCTTTGCCCAATCCCCTGGTTGTTTATTAGCGTCTTGTCTGTGAAGAGTGCGCGAGCTAGCCTGAAATCCACATCTCGCATCAGAAACAGCGCTGGGGCTCTCGGCGCCGCGGCCTAAGGGACGAGCCATCCAGTCGACTTTATCCGACTGGAGATTCCCCACGAAGAGGCGCATCCCTCCCGTCACCCATGGGCCCCTATCGGATTCCCTCTCTCTCTCTCTCTCTCTCCGTCTTTATCTCTCCCCCTTTCGCTTTGACAGCCCAGTGAACCCTGCTTCTCTCTGTCACTCTCGTCTTCACAGCGTTCTTTAAGGAGCTCCTCTGGTGTGGCTCCGGTCTGCGCTAACAGCATCCCGGGGCAAAAAAAAGAAAAAAGAAAACAGAGAAGGATGTGTACACGCCACGAGCTCGGACCACCGTTAGGGAAATGCCTTCAAACTACTTTAATGAGGAGATTGTCAGTGTGCGAGGGGCGGGCGGCTGTGACGAGGCAAACAAGTCCACCAAGGACCGGAGAGGGAAGGCCCCAAGTCGCAGGCCGGGTGTCCGAGCCGGGGAGTGATGTGGAGTTAGCGAGAAGGCCGGCGGTCTTGGTTCAGTTTGTAAGGGTTTTTGAAGTGTTAGGAATGAGATCAAGACTAAAAACAAGTCATTTACAAGACTGCTCTGTGTCAGAAGTTACTGCAGAGGGCTGTTTGTGTGGGTTCAATTTGGAAGAAGTAGGTTTGGTCTCTGAGGTACACCCAAATATGAGGGATTTATAAGATACAAGAGAGAGCAGAAGGAGCAGAGAGGGAGAGACCACAGAGAGACCAGAGAGAGAGACCTCAGAGAGCAGAGAGAGAGACCACAGAGAGACCTCAGAGAGCAGAGAGAGAGACCACAGAGAGGCACCAGAGAAAGAGACCAGAGAGGGACCAGAGAGAAACCAGAGAGAGAGAGTGACCACGGAGTAAGGGATCAGAGAAAGAGAGAGACCAGGGTGACCAGAGAGAGACCACAGAGAGGCACCAAAGAAAGCGAGAGACCACGGAGCGACCAGAGAGAAACCAGAGAGAGACCACAGAGGGGCCACAGAGAGAGGCCTCAGAGAGCAGAGAGAGACCACAGAGAAAGACCAGAGAGAGACCAGAGCGAGCGACCACAGAGAGACCACAGAGAGACAAGACAGAGGCCACAGAGAGAGAGGCCTCAGAGAGACCAGAGAGAGATACCTCAGAGAGCAGAGAGAAACACCACAGAGAGAGAGATCAGAGAAAGAGAGAGACCAGGGTGACCAGAGAGTGACCACAAACCGACTAGAGAGAGACCACAGAGTGACCAGAGACTGACCAGAGAGAGACCAGAAAGAGACCACAGAGCAACCAGAGAGAGACCAAAGAGAGAGAGAAATTGCATGAAAAAAATTGTAATCAGCGCAAACTGTTTTGAGAGTTTTATTAAATTAAACTGGTGTTATGTAACTATCTAATCAGAGATCTACACAGAACAGATCTATAATACAAGTTTTTAGTGGTAGGGGACACCGGAGCACCTGGAGGAAACCTACGCTGACACAGAGAGAACATAGAATAGAATAGACCTTCATTGTCTGTTCAATTGAGCAGAGATTTTTCTTTCAACACGACACATTTAAAACGCACTCGACTCAGAAATGGACCAGGAAGCGAGTCTTGCCGAGAAGCGAGACTGCTAACCACTCAGCCACCGTGCCGCCCACACATGATGTTAATGCTTTGTGTGATTGTGTTTCTTTTCTTGCTTAGCTCTGCACTTGTGTATGAACTGTGCTATGCAAGTAAAACCGCCTTGCCTACATGTTTACGTTGACGAGTGATCACGCTGAAAGCCCGCATCCTCCTGACATGTTTTTCTTCTCGTTGGCGCAAAAAAAGGAAAAAAAAAAATCGGAAAAATCAACACTTTTAACTTTCTTCAAAATAAAAAAAACAAATGTCGAGGATGTGTTGAAAAGAGGCAGAGTTGGAGAGAGTCAGGCTCGCTGGTGGTTATTCAAATTGGACCGGGGCCAGTGGTCAGTAGGCAGGAGCGGGAGGGGGTGAGAGGGAGGGAGGGGGGGGGGAGGGGGTGGGGGGGGGGGGGGGGGGGGTGCGGGTCACGCTAATGTCTGACCTCAGAGAAACCGTGGGCATCTCCATCGCCGCCGCCGAGTTCACAGGACACGTGCCGTCCAGAGCGCCGTCTCCTCTGTGATTATCCACAAACAAGCATCAAAAGGTTTAAGCCGAAGACCCGAATGAACCGGAGAAGATTAGAATGCTGCAGCAGTGACCCGAAAGCAACACAACACACACAAACACACGCACACACACAAAACTAACTCTGTCAAAACTGGCATCAAATGAACTGTGTGTGTGTCATAAATAATGGAACGTGTGTGAGATCATTTAGGTCTGGCAACTTCGGACCGAAATGTACAGCCCGAAATCACAGCAGCGCGGTCGTCTCGGGAGGACTTCGCCAAAGACAGATCAGAGAACGAGTTTGACGACGGGAAATGCAGTAATGACAACGACACAGGAGCCATTGGTGCATTGTCAAAGAAGTACTCAAAAACCCAGTGGGAAAAAGACAAACTGGGGGAAAGACTGAGGCTGTAGACCCAGGACTGAGGCTGAAGACCCAGGACTGAGGCTGGAGATCCAGGACTGAGGCTGTGGACCCAGGAATGAGGCTGAAGACCCAGGACTTAGGCTGTAGACCCAGGACTGATAGACCCAGGACTGAGGCTGTAGATCCAGGACTGAGGCTGTAGATCCAGGACTGAGGCTGTAGATCCAGGACTGAGGCTGTAGACCCAGGACTGAGGCTGTAGACCCAGGACTGAGGCTGTAGACCCAGGACTGAGGCTGTAGACACCGGACTGAGGCTGTAGATCCAGGACTGAGGCTGTAGACCCAGGACTGATAGACCCAGGACTGAGGCTATAGATCCAAGACTGAGGCTGTAGACCCAGGACTGAGGCTGTAGACCCAGGACTGAGGCTGTAGATCCAGGACTGAGGCTCTAGGTCCAGGACTGAGGCTGTAGACCCAGGACTGATAGACCCAGGTCTGAGGCTCCAGATCCAGGACTGAGGCTGTAGACCCAGGACTGAGGCTGTAGATCCAGGACTGAGGCTGTAGATCCAGGACTGATAGACCCAGGACTGAGGCTGTAGATCCAGGACTGAGGCTGTAGACCCAAGACTGAGGCTGTAGACCCAGGACTGAGGCTGTAGATCCAGGACTGAGACTGTAGACCCAGGACTGAGACTGTAGACCCAGGACTGAGGCTGTAGATCCAGGACTGAGGCTGTAGACCCAGGACTGAGGCTATAGATCCTGAACTTTCCTTCTTTTTTTTGAGTCCTGAGAGATTCCCAAGAATGTATTTACTTCACTTTGGTTCAATGAGCTATACGTCAATAAACGTCAGCCGTCTGAATATGGGAGAAACCCTACAAGGTTTCGGCCTGACATCTCTGCGCTCCTTATTTACACCAAAAAAGATCATTTTCAGTCATGTCTGAAATATGCACACGGTAAAATATGCAGAGGTGAAAATGGAAATGATGTGAGCGAGTCGAGGCAAGAGACTGAGGACGTTTAACAAGTTTATTAACGGAGAGTTGAGCAGTGGGGGCGGGGAGCAGGCAGACAGACTGTAGCTAGAGATGCAGAGACACAACTGGATCTGAACAGAAGAGAGAGATTAGAGAGAGAGAGACCAGAGAGAGGCTGGAGAGAGATCAGAGAGAGACCAGAGAGAGACCAGAGAGAGACTAGAGGGAGACCAGAGAGAGACTAGAGATACTAGAGAGAGACCAGAGACCAGAGAGAGACCGGAGAGAGACCAGAGAGAGGCTGGAGAGAGACCAGAGAGAGACCAGAGAGAGACCAGAGAGAGACTAGAGAGAGACTAGAGGGAGACCAGAGAGAGAGAGAGACCGGAGAGAGGCTAGAGAGCAACTAGAGAGAGAGACCAGAGAGAGACCAGAGAGAGACTAGAGAGAGACCAGAAAGAGATTGGAGAGAGCGAGAGAGACCAGTGAGAGACCAGAGAAAGAGATCGGAGAGAGACTAGCGAGAAAGAGCAGAGACTGGAGAGGCCAGAGAGAGACTAGAGGTAGAAACCAGAGGAAGACTAAAGGGAGAGACTAGAGAAAGACCAGAGAGAGAGACCAGTGAGAGACTAGAGAGACCACAGGCCAGGGAGGGATCAGAAAGAGAGAGACCAGAGAGCGAGGCCTGTGACCAGAGAGATAGAGACCAGTGACCAACAAGGACCAGAGAGAGACCAGTTAGAGACGAGAGAGAACAGAGGCCAAAGAGAGAGACACCAGTAGAGTAGAGCAGACCTGAGTAGAGTAGAGCTGCTCGTCCCATTGTCTCCAAGTCTCTGGACATGTCTCTTGTCCAAACTCAGGCATCCTATGTGTGTGTGTGTGTGTGTGTGTGTGTGTGTGTCTGTGTGTGTGTGTGTGATTTCTCTTCTTTTTCTTTTTTTTTCAAACAAATATTTAATCCTCGCAGTGACTGACAACGTTGTCAGACCTTCGGACGGCTTTTTACGGCGCTATTACCAGCCCCGCTCCGTCCGTGGCACTTTGGATTATTTAAGATTATGTTGTAATCCCCTTTAATCCCCATTGCATTAAGATTTCAGTCAAAATACGGCAATAGTAGAGTAGCACTCACACGCCAAAGGACTTAAGCAGGACTCATGATTGGTCTTCACTTGCACCATTTTCTCCTCTTCTTCTCCTCTCAGTCAATATCGTCGAGAAATTTGCTTTTTAACAAGATTTATTCAAACTCATGTCCAATAACCGCGCACACAAAAACACATATTTACAATCTGGGGCCGTGGTGCGTCCGCTGGCACTTCTGTGATGGAGGCCTCGCGAGGCCTTCACTTCCCGCTGCTTTGTACGAAAATCTGAACAGAGCAGAGATACTAGAGAGAGAGAGAGACCAGAGTGAGACGAGAGAGAGACTGGAGAAAGACCAGAGAGATTAGAGAGAGAGACCAGAGAGAGAGACCAGAGAGAGAGAGAGATTAGAGAAAGAGACCAGAGAGAGAGACCGGAGACAGACCAGAGAGAGAGACCAGAGAGAGAGAGAGATTAGAGAAAGAGACCAGAGAGAGAGAGACCGGAGACAGACCAGAGAGAGAGAACAGAGTGAGACGAGAGAGAGAGAGAGACTGTAGAGAGAGACCAGAGGGACTAGAGAAAGAGACCAGAGAGAGAGACCAGAGAGAGACCGGAAAGAGACCGGAGTGAGACGAGAGAGAGAGAGAGAGAGAGACTGGAGAGAGAGACCAGAGAGAGACCGGAAAGAGACCAGAGTGAGACGAGAGAGAGAGAGACTGGAGAGAGACCAGAGAGATTAGAGAAAGAGACCAGAGAGAGACTGGAGAGAGAGAACAGAGAGAGAGAGAGACCAGAGAGAGACTAGAGAGAGACTGGAGAGAGACCAGAGAGAGACTAGAGAGAGACCAGAGAGAGAGACCGGAAAGAGACCAGAGCGAGATGAGAGAGAGAGACCGGAGAGAGACTGGAGAGAGAGACCAGAGAGAGACCAGAGAAAGAGACCAGAGAGAGACTAGAGAGAGAGACCAGGGAGAGACTGGAGAGAGAGAGACTAGAGAGAGACCAGAGAGAGAGACCGGAGAGACACCAGAGTGAGATCAGAGGGAGACACCAGAGAGAGACACCAGAGAGAGACCAGAGAGAGACCGGAAAGAGACCGGAGTGAGACGAGAGAGAGAGAGAGAGAGAGACTGGAGAGAGAGACCAGAGAGAGACCGGAAAGAGACCAGAGCGAGATGAGAGAGAGAGACCGGAGAGAGACTGGAGAGAGAGACCAGAGAGAGACCAGAGAAAGAGACCAGAGAGAGACTAGAGAGAGAGACCAGGGAGAGACTGGAGAGAGAGAGACTAGAGAGAGACCAGAGAGAGAGACCGGAGAGAGACCAGAGTGAGATCAGAGGGAGACACCAGAGAGAGACTAGAGAGAGAGACCAGAGAGACTAGAAAAAGAGACCAGATAGGGAGACCGGAAAGAGACCAGAGCGAGACGAGAGAGAGAGACCGAAAGAGACTGCAGAGAGAGACCACAGAGAGAGACCGGAGAGAGACCAGAGTGAGACAAGAGAGAGAGACCAGAGAGACCGAAAGAGAGACTAGTAGAGTAGCACTCACACGCCAAAGGACTTAAGCAGTCCATATTCAAACTCATGTCCAATAACCGCGCACACAAAAACACATATTTACAATCTGGGGCCGTGGTGCGTCCGCTGGCTCTTCTGTGATGGAGGCCTCGCGATGCCTTCACTTCCCGCTGCTTTTTGCGAAGATTTCTTTTGTGTTTCTGCTCGACTTCCAGCGAGCCGCATGAATAAAACAAACGGAGATTTATGCATGCCAAAGAGCGGACGCGTGAGGAGCGGTCGTAATGCAAATCCCAGTTTATACGGAGATGGTTTATAAACAAGAACGCCAAGTGTGGAAAAGTTAGAGTGGTTTTACAACGTTCAGAGTGTGTTTCCTCCACTGCGTTCTTGTATTTATTTGTCTTAGCTTGACCTCGTTCTACAGCCTCAGTCCTGGGTCTACAGCCTCAGTCCTGGGTCTACAGCCTCAGTCCTGGGTCTACAGCATCAGTCCTGGGTCTACAGTCCTCAGTCCTGGGTCTACAGCATCAGTCCTGGGTCTACAGCCTCAGTCCTGGGTCTACAGCCTCAGTCCTGGGTCTACATTCTCAGTCCTGGATCTACAGTCTCAGTCCTGGGTCTACAGCCTATGTCCTGGGTCTACAGCCTCAGTCCTGGGTCTACAGCATCAGTCCTGGGTCTACAGCCTCAGTCCTGGGTCTACAGCATCAGTCCTGGGTCTACAGCCTCAGTCCTGGGTCTACAGCCTCAGTCCTGGGTCTACAGCCTCAGTCCTGGGTCTACAGCCTCAGTCCTGGGTCTACAGTCTCAGTGCTGGGTCTACAGCCTCAGTCCTGGGTCTACAGCCTCAGTCCTGGGTCTACAGCATCAGTCCTGGGTCTACAGCCTCAGTCCTGGGTCTACAGCCTCAGTCCTGGGTCTACAGCATCAGTCCTGGGTCTACAGCCTCAGTCCTGGGTCTACAGCCTCAGTCCTGGGTCTACAGCCTCAGTCCTGGGTCTACAGCCTCAGTCCTGGGTCTACAGTCTCAGTGCTGGGTCTACAGCCTCAGTCCTGGGTCTACAGCCTCAGTCCTGGGTCTACAGCATCAGTCCTGGGTCTACAGCCTCAGTCCTGGGTCTACAGCCTCAGTCCTGGGTCTACATTGTCAGTCCTGGGTCTACAGTCTCAGTGCTGGGTCTACAGCCTCAGTCCTGGGTCTACAGCCTCAGTCCTGGGTCTACAGCATCAGTCCTGGGTCTACAGCCTCAGTCCTGGGTCTACATTCTCAGTCCTGGATCTATAGTCTCAGTCCTGGGTCTACATTCTCAGTCCTGGATCTATAGTCTCAGTCCTGGGTCTACAGTCTCAATCCCGGGTCTATAGCCTCAGTCCTGGATCTACAACCTCAGTCCTCTCTAGTCTCTCTCTGGTCTCTCTCTAGTCTCTCTCTGGTCTCTCTCTGGTCTCTCTCTAGTCTCTCTCTGGTCCCTCTTTGGTCTCTCTCTTATCGTCTTCTCTCTGGTCTGTTTCAAGCCTCTTTCTTGGCTCTCATCCTAGTCCTACTCTAATCTCTCTCTCTGGTCTCAGCTCCTCTGCTCTGTTGTTGGCGAATTCTACATATATTATAACACTAAAATAATTGTTATTTTCACTGTACTATGTGTCTAACTTGACTGTATGTTTGCTGGTGTCTCTGCGGCTCCTCGGCCTCTCTCATGGTTGGTAGATTCTCGTGGGGCGGAGGGAGGTGATCCTGAGTGGAAGTGCCGGCTGCTACAGGCCAGTGTCACAGTCAGTGTCCTTGATCCACCAGAATCAGATAACTGTGTTGTTTATGTCACTGATACAGAGAGAAAAAACTGGTCTGTCTCGAAAACTGGTCCGTCTCGAAAACTGGTCCGTCTCTAAAACTGGTCCGTCTCTAAAACTGGTCTACGGACCCTGCTTAGCTTCAGACATCATGTTTTTTTTGCAAACTAAAACTATAAGATCAAGACAGGGACTAAGACTATGGACCAGGACCAAGACCAGAACTAGGACCGAGACTGGAACTATAAGATCAAGACAGGGACCAAGACTATGGACCAGGACCAAGACCAGAACTAGGACCGAGACTGGAACTATAAGATCAAGACAGGGACCAAGACTATGGACCAGGACCAAGACCAGAACTAGGACCGAGACTGGAACTATAAGATCAAGACAGGGACCAAGACTATGGACCAGGACCAAGACCAGAACTAGGACCGAGACTGGAACTATAAGATCAAGACAGGGACCAAGACTATGGACCAGGACCAAGACCAGAACAAGGACCAAGACTGGAACTATAAGATCAAGACAGGGACCAAGACTATGGACCAGGACCAAGACCAGAACTAGGGCCGAGACTGGAACTAAGATCAAGAGAGGGAAGAAGACTATGGACCAGGACCAAGACCAGAACTAGGACCGAGACTGGAACTATAAGATCAAGACAGGGACCAAGACTATGGACCAGGACCAAGACCAGAACTAGGACCAAGACTGGAACTATAAGATCAAGACAGGGACCAAGACTATGGACCAGGACCAAGACCAGAACTACAGATTATTAGAGAAAATAAGGTAAATAAGTTTAAAGTTGTAGGTTGTTGTTCCAATTATCTTAAAGGAGTCAAAGAAATTTCTAAATGATTAATTTTAAATAATGTCGTATCTTTTTGTGATAAAATGATCCATGAAGAAGAAACCCTCTGTATATCTCTGTATAATGTTTAGTTTACTCTCTGCCTCGACTTTCTCCTGTTTGTTAGCGCGGTGTTACACATCACGTCCCACTGGAACCGAATTTAACATGTTATGCCTGAATATTATATCTCCTCAACGTGTATTCGTGCGATGTTGATCCGTCATTTGTGTAGGATGCGCCATATTAGCACACACATACTCATTCAGAGGTTAACTGTTCAGGGTCCATTTTCCCAGCATGGCGGGCTCGGATCAGTGGGGCGCGTCTGGAGCCCAGCCTGTGTGTTCCTGTGTGTCTCGCGCTCTCTAGTGTGTATCCTGACTGTGCGACTCCGTTTATTGTTCGTGTGAGAGTACTCCATGGTCATTACACTTCTTCGAGGTTCAGTGTACTGCAACTTTGTGGCGTTGTCGAGGACATCTGGGAGTACACCAACCCGTAAGACACTCTGAACCCTCTGTGACTCTACAATCATCTTACCTCATTGCACGATCTTTCAGATATGTCTTTTCGTCGTGCTGCAGATACGCGCGGCCCAGAGCAAGGCGCGTGCGGGTTCTATATCCTAGGACCGGACCTAGTCTGTGCGAGCGATGCTCTCTCCCAGGGGGTGCTTCGAGTGGTATCGGAGTACACTAGTGCACTTGAGGTAACATATCATCGCATGGGAGAGACACACGGACGCAGTGGATTCAATTTCACGTGTGGTGAGTGTAGGTACGCCTAGCCACAGACGTGAGGCGAGACGTCTCGATCCACAGATGACAGACGGGTAGACACGCACTGTTATTTGATAAAGGTTTTGGGGGTGGTCTGGTACAGGCACTCTTAGAATTGCGCGTCACGTATTCTGGGTGGCTGACTTTCACTCTAGTTATCTGCTCATCTGTGTTCTTTAGTTTATACATCGTATGTGTCGCAGGCGGTGTATCTCAGTGTATTCATCTTAGGCACTCTAAGAGGTCGTGTTGTTAGGAGAGGTGTCACTCATATCATGCATGAGGGCACTGGATCGTGCTTGGATTATGTGGGTGAAACGGGGGATTCTAGGGGACTTTGGGGCGAGTCAGTGGGCGTGGATAGTAGCAGATTTGGGAGGGGAGTGTGGTGAGGTATCGCGCCGGGAATGTGGTGTCTCGTGTGTGTTGGGGGGGTGTGGTTCTAGAGGGATCACAGGCGGCGAGGGATGGGTTGGTGTTTGTGATAACCCGGTGATAGTTGAGCTGTATGGGTGGGTGTTGTGATTTATCTAGAGGTCTTGGTGTTATGAGGTGGTTGTAGCTTTGGGAGTGTAGTGGATATGAGGTGGTAGTGGGAGGGGGTAACACCTATGTGAGCACACAGGGGGATGAGAGTGGGAGTGGTGTAGAGAGTACAGTGCCGGTGCTAGGTCTGTGTTAGGGAATGTACGCTGGGGAGGCGGGAGGAGGACTTAGCAACGTCTAGAGGATCTGTGGAGGTGTACAAACAGTGACATATATACTGAGCTTGGAAGGGTGGCTAATGGCAGTATACACATCTTACGATGGAGTAGATCGGTGAGTGGGACTGGGCTTAGAGGGGTATGTCGCGGTTGACGGTCGGTCTCTTGCGGAGCGTGGCTAACGGTGGAGCAGTGACAAGTGGAGAGGGACATGACATACTGAGGTTCCGGGTGGGCACTGTGGGGGTGACACGAGGATAGTACTGTCAGGGTGGGGTGTTAAGTGGGGCATGCTGTATGTGCGGGTTCTCATATCTGACGCGGTAACGCGATACTTCAACACAGTAGGATACAGTGAGGGGAGGGAGGGGTACAGTAGGACGTGGTATGCAAGTAAGTATGTGTAACTGTGCCACATACACGCGACAACAGGGTAGATAGGTGGCATGGAGTGCACACAGGAGGTTATTGAGCGTCACTTCAGAGTTGTATACACTCTCAACAGGTGACGGGGTGTGATGCTCTATCGTATGAGAAGAGCGACGTGGCGTGGGACACGGCACAAGAGTGAGTGAAGAACGAGACTCATCTGTGGGAAAGGTCTTCAACACGTAGGTATGGGTGTGGCGAACACGTATGCGTGTGCAGGCCACTCATGATATATTGGACTAGGAGACACCTCGACGGGAAACCGAGGTTGGGAGATGGATTATTCTATACTTCTTTTTGTGCTGGCGGATTGGTCGTCTTTAGTATGGTGCAGACGCCACTGGTGGTGTAATAATGCATAGGGAGGCTCATGGTGGTGATCTTACATCGGGTCAGGTGCAAGTGTCAATGTTTAGGAGTGGATGGGACATATAGAGGGACACGGGGCTAAGTGGGAGGGCGTACGGACTCGGGAGTGGGTCTCTCTGGAGTTCTTAGAACAACACAGACACGTGGTCACATCATGAGTAGCATAGTGGGTGGGCGGTTACGGGTAGAGTTCTGCACGGTACCATGCAAATCTGGCCACACGGTTCTGAAAAGTGGACACTGACGGCGACGTTCTGGTTGGGATAGAGTTAGATTCTCTCAATCAGGGGGGGGAACAGTGCAAAGAGTCACATGTCTGAGCGAATCACCGATTGGAGTTACACAACTGTAAGTATGGGGGGGATTCTACTATGCACTTAACATTAAGTGGAGGGTAGGATTTCTTTACATATGTGCACAGCGACGACGCACATCTACCTCTCATGATCTAGTGGTAGTGGTGCGGGGGATAGAGAGAGGGTAGTCGGAATAGGAGGATGGGACTGTGAACGGTTCATTATATGGCTGCGAACTTTAGCTCAATAGGACTGATGTTCATAACAGAGGAAGTATTGTGGGGTCGTGATTATGAGACGACAGAAATCCTGATATTCACTCATTATATACTCAGTAGGCGAGCTATACACAATGCAGAGCAGGAGGGTGCGCGGAGGGGTGGCTGAGGTCTACATCTCTCTTTTAGTAGTATGATTGATGAGACATGCAGTACATAGCTTAGTCGCATCACTAGGTTAGATACAGCACGAGGAGGGGGTCACACTATGGGTGATGCTCTGAGAACAGAGGGTACATGTTAGTGGATCGACGTTGGGATAAGGACGAGACATAAGCGGGTGGACTGATACAGGTGTCACAAGCAATATGATAGTAGACAGGTGGCACACACGATGCAGGTTAGCAGGGACACGGTTTATGGATCTGGAGAGTAGACACTGGACTGTCATGATCTGACATCAGTCGTCGTCTTGAGTGGACTATTACGGGCATTAGACAGCGGTAGAGGAGTTGGTGTAGTACACGTACTATTGCTTCAGTATCAACACAGCACAGATCAGGGGGGGAACACACCGAGAGTGATAGAGTGGGAGCAGGTAGTGTTCACACTATCAGGAGACAGGAAGGGGGGGGACACCAGGGGGAGTTAGACGCACACACAGTGATACATAGAGTTAGAAGTGTCAATAGCAACACAGCAGATGGGGAGAGGTGACAATGGGCGGATTCTGGGGGTATGATGGGGGTGGAGAGGTACTTAAGGCTTCATCGTCTGTGTGAATACGAAGTGCAGAGAGATGATGTGGGGGGGCAGATGTTGGTAGATTAGATGATTGGAGCATTTGATATCGTGGAAGGGTGTGGGGGGGGGGGGGGTGTTTGGGTACATGCTTTGAGCAGCAGACTGAGGGGTGAGGCAGTATCAGGCAGCGTGGGATTGGACACAGTATGTTACAACGGTGGTGTGGAAGACTGTACTGGGTTGTCACTTATAGTTAGTGGACAAGGATTATATCGTTGATCTCAAGACACATACGATAAGGATACGACACATAGTGGAGCATTATGTTAGAACAATCTGGTTCAGGTGCTTGGATCGGAGTGTAGTGTGGTGATGGAGAAGGTCACATATGGTGTGTGAGGTAGTGATAGTCGTTTAAGATCGACTAGTTGGTATATATCGCTCAGTGTGTAGGGGTTAATGAGTGGTGGGGATGACATCATGACCTGTGGGAGCACGCGAGTGAAAGTTATACATATCTTGTGACATCAGATGGTATTAGTGTATAGGTGCATGTCAGGTCTGACCTGTATGTCACTGACGTCACAATATACATAGGTATTTACTGGAGTGGTATCAGAGAGAGTGGGAGTGGCAAGGAAATGGGCACAGGTCTTAACTTTAGTGTATTGACAGGGGGTGAATGGAAACGTTACATTGGTTATATATGAGAGGGTAAGGTTGTTTAGCTTAGGCGTGTGAGGGCCGATCTTCACAATATGGGGGACTGTTAGTGGTTGGAGGGTGATTATCTGATATCTTTCGATGTATAGGTGCGCATACCATCTACTGAGGGGTAGGGACTGGGTTTTGTGCACAGAGTAGTGAGTTCAGTTAGGGGGATTTGTTTCAGGGGGGGATGTGCACTACTGGAATGGTCTGTGTCACGTCGAGGGCATATGTTGGTGGTACTAGGACAATGACTGGTTGGATGGGGACAGGTCGTAGCACACTATGTGTGGTGAGTGTAGAATCTCGGGAGATGGGGTACAGGCATGGGTGGTGGGAGTATCTGACAGGGATGACTGCGGTCTGACAGTTGTGAGTCTGCCACTAGTTACATAATCTGTTATTAGGTGACTGGTGATGATTTTGGTGTGTGGTGTAGAGTGTGCAATATCGTTGTACATAAAAGACATTGGGCAACATGCATTGAACAAGTCTCAGGAGTGCAACACGATGTGGACAGGGAAGACATAGTAGGCGACAAGAGAACCGGGTTGTGATCACAGAGAGCAGAAGAGTGGGGAGAGAGAGGTCAGCGGCGTGCATCACTTCAGTGTGCATTTGGTGAAAACTGATGGCAGGACGCACTCAGGGTTATGATACTATCTAAACACTCTAGTGTAGACTTATCGAGGTGGTGAGACTATAACGGTGACAGCGATAGTAGACCTCAGGTGGGGAGTGGACGGGATCACAGTGCACATGACGGCAGGGGGGTTAGGTATTTTTCTCTTACATTAGTCTCTGGTCATTGAATGCACGGTGGTGATTATGTGGGGGTATGTTGGACACGGTTGTGTAGATGAACACATCACGCAGAGTGTAACGACTTACACACATGATGATTTTGTGGTACACTGATGTGTAGTTTAGTTAGGGGAGAGTGTAAACAGTAGGAGACTATGCAGGACAGTACTGCGACGAAGCCCCACACTGGTAAGTGGTCTAGTAGGCTACATGGTGGGTTGGAATGGTGCGAGTGACACCAGAGTGGACAATCTGAAGTCTTCTGGCGGGGGGCAATATTCACGAAGTGGCTTTACGTATTAGGTGTTGGGGGTTGTGATCGTGACAGGACTATCGTTTGATTAGATGGAGCAGAGGACTACTATAGTGGGGATGGGGGGGGTTACATCACATGAGCGGAGATTATCTATGTGTTATTGGGGCACTAGGGAGGGGGGGAATGAGTTTTTGAGGTGGGGGGGATGAAGGGGAAGGGAATGATATTATAGGTCAAAGTCGGTCAGGTGTGGTCCTCTATTGCAGGTGTCACACGTGATTTGATTGATTTGATTTGGGGTGGGGTTGAGAAGGGATGATATGGGATTATATTTGAGAGGATATGAATATGATATTTGATGATATGTTTTTATTTATAATGTTGATATTGGTTTTATGAGAGGGTCTGGGTTCGGATGGCCTCCACTCATCATCATGGTCTATGGAGTTTTTAGTGATCTGTGTGTCAGCTAGGTTATTCTATACTGACTATCGTGAGACTTAGTAGAGTCTGATGTCACGTTATTGCTGTTTGTGGATCAGTTTGTGAGGTAAGAATGGGTCTAGTACTGGGATTGTACACGTAGTCAGATCTGGGTGCGTCATTCACTGTATGTGTCTAACGTCTATATTGAGGTGGGGGTTCTCTTCTTAGTTCTCTAGTGTTTTGTGTTGTCTACTTGGTCTATCAGGAGGTCTATGGGTAGACACTGCAGGATCTAGCTCACAATCTCACATAGAGATGGTCTTTTTCGTCGTCTCACATCGTATATGAGACCATAGATGTGCGAAGCAGTTGATCACATTGGATGGTATTTGTAAAGATCTGACGTCTGTATTGTGTACATTGGGTTAGTTGAGTGTCTACTGGGGGGGTCCAGCGTGATGTGTATGGGTTATGTTGGAAGGATGTCAGACTGACGTGTGGGGAGGGAGCGACATATGTGTTTGTGGATGTGTGTTGTGTAGGTGTATTGTAGTGTGTGGTGTAGTATGTTTATGGTTTTGTGGGGTTGTGTGTGTGTATTTGTGTGTAATTTGAGTAGTGTGTGTGTGTGTGTGTGTGTGGGGGGGGGGGGTGGGAGGGTGAATATACCAGGTATTATGGGTTGATGGGTGTGTTGACATGTAGGTGTATTTTGTCTTTTTAACTTTATATGATTCTGTTGGTGGGCGTTTGTTCGTGGGTGTTTACGGAGGTTGGTTAACCACTTTATCTTCGTCGTCTGGCTGGATGGACGGTAGATGGCTTGGTTTTTCACGAGTGGATCCAGTCATTTGGATTCTATTCTAACTGGAATGTAACTGTTGACTGTTTTTTTAACCTGGATTTGAATTTTTTACTATAATCATCTTGTCAGAGTTGAAGCCTGTCGCACGTTTTCAGGAAGACTGTTCCAAAGTTTAGCTGCATGCATCTGAAACGCTGCCTCCTCATGTTTAGTCCTGACTCTGGGGCCAGCAGGAGGCCTGTCCCTGTGCTCCTCAGAGTCCCAGCAGGAGGCCTGTCCCTGTGCTCCTCAGAGTCCCAGCAGGAGGCCTGTCCCTGTGCTCCTCAGAGTCCCAGCAGGAGGCCTGTCCCTGTGCTCCTCAGAGTCCCAGCAGGAGGCCTGTCCCTGTGCTCCTCAGAGTCCCAGCAGGAGGCCAGTCCCTGTGCTCCTCAGAGTCCCAGCAGGAGGCCAGTCCCTGTGCTCCTCAGAGTCCCAGCAGGAGGCCAGTCCCTGTGCTCCTCAGAGTCCCAGCAGGAGGCCAGTCCCTTAATTTTTCCTGAAACCATGATACAGGCTTCTACAATGTCCAAATCCAGGTTAAAAACACACACAAACACACACACGGACACACACACACACACAGACACAAACACACCCACACCCACACAGACACACACAGGGACACACACACAGGGACACACACACACACTGACACACGGACACACACGGACGGACACACGCACGCACGCACACACACACAGGTGAAACAAAGCAGTCTAAGCAGAGACGCCCAGACTTACAAATATATCAAAATAAAACCAGGAAAAGTGATAAAAAGTCCACACAAGAACAGTTTTTGCACAAATCGATGGCCTTCGAGTCGCCGCTCTCCCACAGGGACAGCATCAGGAGGACACACACACATTGTCCTGGGGCCTCCGTGAACTCTTGACTCCGACAGCTCCCCCTGGAGGCCCCGACCCGTCACTACACCCGCTGCTGCTCCGGGGCACGCGGGCAGGATCCACGCCAGGGTCAGGGGTTCGCTGCATGTCCTAAAAGCAAACGCTAACCTACTTTCCCTGCCTGCACACACACAACCATGGCCACGGACCAGGAGGAGACCAGGAGGAGACCAGGAGGCTCGGAGTGGAAAGGCCACAGACCGAAGTTTGGGAATCGGATCGGACACCGCTGAGGGGCAGGGCAGGCGGCGTTAGAGTAGAGTAGAGTAGAGTAGAGTAGAGTAGAGAAGAGAAGAGTAGGGTAAAGAAGAGTAGGGTATTAGAGTAGGATATATGATAGAGTACAATTGAGTAAAGTAGAGAAGGGTAGGGTAGAGTAGAATAAAGTAGAGTAGATTAGAGTAGGCTAGAGTATGGTAGAGTAGAGTTGGGAAGGGTAGAGTACTGTTTGTAGAATAGAGTAGAGTAGGGTAGTATATGTGGTAGAGTAAAGTGCAGTAGATTAGGGTATGGTAAGATGTAAGGTGGAGTACAGTTAGATAAAGTAGAGAAGCGTACAGTATGGTTGGGTTGCGTAGAGTAGACTAGAGTAAAGTAGAGTACAGTAGAGTAAAGTAAAGTAGAGTACAGTACAATAGAGTAAAGTAGAGTAGAGTGGATTGGACTAGAGTAGAGTATAGTAGAGAAGAGTAGATTGGAGTAGGGTAGAGAAGAGTAGAGTAGGGTGAAGTAGAGTAGAGTACAGTAGAGTAGGGTAGAGTGCAGTACTTTAGAGTAGAGTGAAGTAAAGTATATTGTGTAGTTTACAAGTTTGTCAAGAAGATGTCGTCGCTGATTTTCCGTTTTTGGACCCTCGAGGTTCCACTAAGTAGGACCTGGGGGATCATCGAGGAGTGCTTCTTGTCCTGGTATGTGCCTTATGTGTGTGCGCAGTGGGGGCCCCTGGGAGCCTCTTTGGCAGGGGTCCAGGGCCCCGGTGCTTGGGCTCAGTGGAACAGACAAGCCAAATCGCAACACGCTGACCCATTTTGTAGCTGTGCGCCAGTGGGACTATTTTCTCTCCCTTTTTTTTTTTCTTTATTGTCACGCTAAACGATTCTTCCCATAACACGGTGTTACGGTGAGGAGGGCCCTGGCTTCTGACGCGCCCCTAACCCCGCCCCCCACGTCAGCCCCCCCATTTTTAATAGACTCCACCCCCCCTCCCACTCAGGCGTCACCTAATTACCAAAACCCGGACTCATTTACATGGCCACGTTTGATCTAAATTACAGAACCAGCAAATGAGCATCACGTGCAAATTTAAAGATTTTCTGATCCGTCTCTGGAGACTTGAGGTGATCCGGGCCTTGACTGACGATCCGGAATAAACCAGATTTACCCATAAGATTATTAGCGATCAAGGCATTTCGCACCATGGTGGAGTTAAAGCTGGGGTACCTAGTTTTCAAAAGTGAAACAATATTGACTAGCTCTTAAAAAAGTTATGATTACTAGTTTTCACATGTGTGTGTTTTTGATCTGTCTAATATCCTTGAATCAGCTTTTAGCTGGTCTCTCTTCTCTCTCTGGTCTCTCCCTAATCTCTCTCTGGTCTCTCTCTCTTCTCTCTCTGGTCTCTCCCTGATCTCTCTCTAGTCTCTCTCTGATCTCTCTCTGGTCTCTCTCTGGTCTCTCCGTACTTTGTCTGGTCTCTGGTGTCTCCCTGGTCTCTCTCTTGTCTCTGGTTTCTCTCTTGTCTCTGGTCTCTCTCTGGTCTCTCTCTGGTTTCTCTCTGGTCTCTCTGGTCTCTCTCTGGTCTCTATCTGGTCTCTCTCTGGTCTCTCTCTTGTCTCTGGTCTCTCTCTGGTCTCTGTCTGGTCTCTCTCCAGTATCTCTCTTGTCTCTGGTCTCTCTCTTGTCTCTCTCTGGTTTCGCTCTTGTCTCCCTCTGGTCTCTCTCTTGTCTCTGGTCTCTCTCTGGTCTCTCTCTGTTCTCTCTCTGGTTTCTCTCTGGTCTCTCTCTGGTCTCTCTCTGGTTTCTCTCTGGTCTCTCTCTGGTTTCTCTCTGGTCTCTCTCTGGTCTCTCTCTGGTTTCTCTCTGGTCTCTCTCTGGTTTCTCTCTGGTCTCTCTCTGGTTTCTCTCTGGTCTCTCTCTGGTCTCTCTCTGGTCTCTGTCTGGTCTCTCTCCGGTCTCTCTCTTGTCTCTCTCTGGTTTCTCTCTTGTCTCCCTCTGGTCTCACTCTTGTCTCTGGTCTCTCTCTGGTCTCTCTCTGGTCTCTCTCTGTTCTCTCTCTGGTCTCTCTCTGGTCTCTCTCTGGTTTCTCTCTGGTCTCTCTCTGGTTTCTCTCTGGTCTCTCTCTGGTCTCTCTGCACTTTTGGCCTCTCTCACATCTTTTTTTATCAACTTTTTAAGACAGAGAAGTGAAAAAGAGAGGACCAGCCTCACTCAGCCAATCAGCTCTCAGCTCAATCCGTCACATAGTCACTCACAGGGCTCTTTCTTCACAACATTCTACTTTTACATTACTCCGTCCGTGGGTCAAAACACATGCCAATATTTATGAACCAGGAAAATAGGTCCCCCAGCTTTAAAACGTAATGCAGTATGAGTATGGTGTCTCAGACTTCTGCTATAGCCACAGTCTTAACCATAGCATAAGTTCATATTGGCCAATATTTAACACCGATCATCAATGTTTTAAGATTGGGTGGAATGCCTGAGATTTAGAAAACCCCCAATTATCCCCCTAATCTGCCCCCCCCCCCCCGGGCCCCTCCCCCTGCCCCCCGTCCCACTCCCAGATCAGCCCCATGCTCTCTGACTGATTGGCCATACAGACAGCACATTAATTACAATATGCCAAAGCGAAAGGGAAAGGCCGGGGCTAATTGCACACACTTATTATGCATTCATGGTCTAATAATGGACTCGGCGGTATCCCTCAGTCCCGTCTGGGTTTTAAAATATATTTTTGGGACATTTGGAAGATGCATTCGAAGTTCAAAGTTGGGGGTATGCATACATGATGGAGTTTTTGGACATGTTATTGATGTGGTGAGAAGGCGAGGGGGGGTTACAGTGGAGGCAGCTGCTGGGAAGAAACAAAGGGTTTTTAGTTTTGTATAGTGCGTTAAACATGTATAAGTATATGTTTACATGTATGTGTGTGTGTGTGTGTGTATAATATATGGTTTTATACGATAATATTTAACACCACATATGTATGTACAGTATGTATGTATGCAAAAACACACACACAACCTGTTATAACCATTTAACCTCACACACATTTACATACATGCACACACGTAGACACACACGCACACACACACACACACACACACACACACACACACACACACACACACACACACACACACACACACGCACAACATCAACTTAGACAATTTGATAGACTGCCAGACTTTTCACAGTTGTCACACATGTGCTTTCTACAACACACTAATGACTTTTAAAATATTCCTTAATTATGGAAATAAAAATTTGACTTTGCCAGCTCATGTTTGAGAATGTATAATGATCTTTAGTAAAAATATAATATACAGTGACACAAATATGAGGGATAAAAATAAAAGCCTTTTTCTCTGTAACTCCCCATGCTGCCACCAGGGGGACACACACACACACACACACACTGTCTTAAATATGTTTATTGTGCGGTAAAACCAACCTCTCACTTTGTCCCATTTCATCCAATCACCACCATGTCTCAGTGGGGATCGACCTAGAGCAGGGGTATCTAAACTTATAGCTTGGTAGCTCTCTGTAGCTCGCCACACTTTAAAGTAGTGTGGCGAGAAAACGGAAAATATTTTGTGTAAATATGAATAATGCCAACTTTTTGCACTTAATACATTAAAATAACACTACACCCCAAAACATTGATGGTGGCCCAGAGAGGGTAAAGTTCAGTGGGTATGGTCCAAAATACTGACAGAATGGAAATTGAAATTTTACTGACGCAACCAGACAAGAACGTGTCTCTCTCTGCTCCGAGTCCTGATAACACATAATCAAGCCCAGGCCCCTGCGTTTTTGCTGCGTCAGCCTTCCTCCTCGTGTGCGATTGGCAACTGCCGAAAGACGGTGGAGGGAAGACAGGAAAGCAGCGCTAAAAATACCCAAAGGGAGGGGGGGGGGGTCCGCACCTTGAGAACCCCTCCGACTGCTTGGAGCCACGGGGACAGCGCCTCCGAAGCAAAAAGGGCCAAATGATTATTGAACCCAGATCAAACGTCAACCCGCACATCTTTGAAAGCGCGGCCAAGAATGGGAGGGCGCTCTAAAGCCTCGCGCAAGTTTGTTTTCCAGGGGCCCTGTGTTGTGGTTTCGCCGAGTCCCCCCCAGCCCCACACCCCCCCGGACGCCTGGTTCCAATAAGGGCCCCAGAGCGCGGTACCTACTGTTCCTCTTCATGTGGTGTATAGGTGCTGTGGTCTCTCTCTCTCTCTGAAGTCTCGGTTTATCTCTGTGGTTGCTCTCTGGTCTCTGTTTCGCTAGTTTCTCTCTCTTTATCTGCTCTCTTTCTGGTCCCGCCAGTCTCTCTATCTCTGGTCTCTCTCACTGCTTCCTCTCTCTTCCCATCTGTAGTGTCTCTCTCGTGTCTCTCTCTAGTCTCGAGTCTCCCTCCCTTCTCCCTCTCTTTTGCCTCTCTCTAGTCCCTCTATCTTGCATCTCTGGTCTCTTTCTCTTCTCCCTCTCTCTTGTCTCCCTGGTCTCTCTCTGTTCTCTCTCTCTCCCCCCCCTTCTTGCCTCTCTATGGTCTTTCTCTCTCTAGCCTCTCTCTCTAGTCTCTCTGGTCTCGCTCTCTTTTTCCTCTCTCTCTGGTCTCTCTGGTCTCTCCCTGGTCTTTCTGTATTTTTAACCCTCCCAATCCCCCATGCCTGGTTCCAATAACGTCTCTGGAGCGCGGTGGCTTCAGTGCATCCACCGCTCCTCTTCATGTGGTGCATAGGTGCCTCGGCTCCTCCTGAACGTCTCTCATTGAAGACTTAATGAGCAACAAATGTGGCAACAAACTGTGGTCGGTGCGAGCTGGAGGTATGTGCTGAGTCCAGGTTGTTTGGGTCTCGTTTTAATCCCTGCTTTGATCCAGCGAAAAGTCAAGTAGTGGATACTTCTGTGATGTCACTGATTCTTAAAGCTGTGGCACATGATTATGAAAAAGTATACATGTTGCTTCAATCAGTGGTCTGTCTCTCCCTGGTCTCTCCCTGGTCTCTCCCTGGTCTCTCCCTGGTCTCTCTCTGGTC